TTTTTTGGAACCTTCTAGCATCCAACCTTTGTTCTTATTCTGCTCTTAATTATTACAGTCCACTAGTTTTCAGTTTGCTCATTCGGCCGACTCGAAGTCAGAACACACAGTAAATTTTTCTGAGAGACTCAGTAAATTTTTACTTAAAAGCTTGGTGAAATTCACTGAGAAACGCAACAAAAATTTATGCGATAATCCAGTAAAATTTCGAAAGCCAGAACAATTTTTTCATCTACAAATTTTTAATGGGTTGCCCCGTAAATTTTACTAAGCGCGCGCGTATGGTTCCGCATGATGGTCCAGTAGCGGTGCAATTTAATTAGCGAATCTAACCTCCCACTTTGAACTGAGGTTTATTCTATGTAAAATAACACGGAGATTCCAAAAAAAACTACTCGGAAGCAAAAAAAAAGTACGCGTCATTGAGTTTTTTGTTATAAACAATTTTTTTTCACTAGAATCTACACATTTTCATTGATAACTTTTCAGATATGCAGAAATCGATGATACTTAATAGGACAATTCTTGTTCTTTATCGTCGAACGAAGATTTCTGTCATTTTACTTTTTTTTTTTAGCATAATGTCTAAAAATTTAATCGTTTTTCTTTTTTTTATATGTCTTACATTATTTACTGTCTATTAAAGACTTTTATTTGGAATTTTTTTCAGATTTTGTTAATCTTTCACTAATGACGAGGATCCTTTAATTATAAAAATTCAGCAATTTTTTTTTTTGGTATTTCGTCAATCTTGTTTTTTTTCTACGACATTACATACACATCTTCCATTAATATGGAAGACTCGATGTCTTTAGGTCTTAAGGCCATATACATTTTCATTTCATTATAAAATTAATTATAAATAATGATCTTAGGTAATCATTTTTAGTTTCTTTAATGGATACTATCAACTGTCTTCTACGATCTTTAATATCTGTATATCAATATATAAGCGATTTACCACTCACTCACTGATTTACTCATCACGAGATCTCCAAAACTATGAGTCTGATTGACTTGAAATTTGACATAGTTACACCTTCGCTGACATAGACGCCCATTAAGAACGGATTTTGACTAAATTTGATCTAAAATAGTTTTTTTACTGATCATTTATAATATATCGATATACTAGCTGATACCTATCTGGCACTATCGTAAAAGTTCCCATAGTAACCTTTCTTGTCGTAATAGTTGACATGGTAACCATTACTATGGTAATTTTTGTCAAAGTAACCGTTACTTGGTAATATTTGCCATCGTTATGTCCGAGTTTATTAAATTTAATAATTATTTTTAAAAATAAAAATTAAGAATGAAGGGTAGCGCGTTTTAGTGAAGGAGGGCGTTCGGACTAACAAGAGTTTTTAGGGTACGAAAAATCGTACCCTTTATTTTTTTTTTTGATTTTGGGTTCCGTTGTGATCTTAACCGGGAGTGGTGGTTCAACGCAGTTCACCGTACAAGGAATTGAATAGGAAAGGGGAAAAAGGAAAGAGTTACGATTTGACTTCAGTAAAGAAAATTTATTCTTACCTCAAAAATAAGGCTTAGAATATAAAAAACTATCAAGCTTACTCTCAGTCTTGACGAGTCTACGGTCATCGACGAAAAGCCACGATAAGGGCTCATACTAATTTAAATAAGGCCCGAACGTGATCCACGTCGCCGGGATGTCATAGAAACTTGGATCAATCGTAAACTGTTTGCACCTCGAGTTGCAAAAGTCAAGTTGTGAAATATTCGTAAACGTTCCATGACTTGCGAATGATATCTAGGTCTCGAATACTCAAAACTGTAGCCTTGTCAGCTGGGTCACTAAAATAAAAAGAAGAACAACAAAAAAAATCAAGAGTGGAAATCTTCGATGTTCTACAAGAGGATCAAAGTTTCGTCAAGAAGACTAAAGTTCTACCTTAGGCCAAACTTGATACTCTGTTTCGATATTAAGTCATCAGCGAAAATCGACATCGTGGCCTAAGTGGTAACGTGCCAGCCTGTGGCACGCTATGGGTAGCGGGTTCGATTCCCGGCCGAGACAAAGGCCCATTTATAAAATATAGTCTTTTCTCTGACCACAATGAGCGGGAGGCCTCTCAGAGGGCAGTCAAAGGTATAAGCTATCGTGCTGATAGTACTGAGTAGTACAAAAGGCTCTGCACAGGTGGACCCCAAAATTTCTCACACACTTTCTCTCGTTATCTTAAGCTAATACTGAGGAAACCAGGACCCTTGAAGTAACCAGCAGAATCTCCGAAGGTAGGACGATTTCTTGTGACAACTGGGCGACCTCTAAGGTTGCACCAAGCCTATAGATTTTGCCTACCTGATGCTGAGGAAACCGGGGGACCATGGGGCTGGTGGAATCTTCGAAGGCGAAAAGATAACGTTCATTCGCAACACCATGGAAATCGACAGGAACTGTTCCGGGGCTTGAAAGGGAACCAAGGCAACTTGAGAACCTGTAGGCCTAAGACATAAGACGACTGCCTTTACTGCGCAAATGGACCCAGCACAATGGCCCCGTGGCTCAGTGCAGGGGAAGGCAAGAAATTTTAAGACACCTTCTTTCATTCAAAAAAAAAAAAAATAGGTCTGAGCACACTTTGTCTGTGCTAACACGATGAATTTACCATTAGTAATTGTTTATAAGAAATACATATTGTTATAAACAATATGTAATTATTGAAAGTCATATCTTGCCATAAATGATATTATTTTGTAAAAAGAATCCAAATCGGTGTGATATACGCATTAGTTCATCAATAAATACAATTTCTAATTGTTTATAAGAAATTCGTATTGCTACAAACAATATGTAATTGGTGAAAGTTACATTTGGTAGTGCACAATAATGTCTGGTCAAAATTGACTTCATTTTCAAATACAATTTTTATTCTTCCACTCAAAAGTATTTTAAATAGTTAATCTTTTTATTTATTTATTATTAGTTTTTTTGTTATAAAAAAACGCCTTGACCGAATTTGTTTAAATTTTACTCAGATCTTCTTTATAATAATATCTTTCGAATAAATTTGAGTTGAAGTCGATATCTTAATCCGTTCTTGAGATATCATACATACATACACACGTATGTACGTACACTCACATCATTCTAAAAATTGGTCAGTATGCTTGCAAATATCATGAAATGTGGAGATATGATGAAAATTCAAATTTCACCAATCGACCCAATTTCAATAACTTCCTAGTGGAAAGTTAAAAAAAGTCATCAGCAAAACATTTATAAAAATTATTTTATTAGGTCATTATTTATTAAATTAAATTAAGAAATTAATTTATTGAATAAAAGAGAATTGAAAAAAATTCTAAAAACAGGCCGGACATAACACCAATGTAACCGTTGCTATGGTAATACTTATAAAATTAGTGAAAAGAATGATATTTCAATGGGGCATTATTTAAAGCAAAAAAAAAAATTTGTATTAATTTTAACTATTTTTTATGCTACATGAGTGTGGAAATCTATGTAATGACAGATCCACAGACCAACTGACAAATTCATGGAATAAAAAAAATTACAAAACGTACATACTCATATAATTTCTTTAATTTACATCAAGAGAAACGATCGGATATCAATTACATTACAAACAATAATCTGTCTATTACGATTTTAGATTTATGTTTATCGTCAACAAAAATTGTGCATTATTTTTCCATTTAGGTGCTACAAATGGTAAACCCAGCGAAGCGGGCAGGTACCAGCTAGTTAAATTACATATTTCACTCGTTCTTAGTGCTCCACAAATACCAAAAATTAAGATAACCATCGCAAAATAATCATATATATTTTTGTAAGAATCAGTTTTTTTTAAAAATAATTTTAATTTTATACGAATATATTTCTTTACATTGATTCCATAATGTAGATACAAAACACTTTGTAGCATAGACCACTTGCTCCACAATGTGTTTTCTACGTCTCAAAATTTCATTAAAACATACTAAAAGTATATTTTCAGAAAATAAATCAACTTTAACGTTCCGTTTTCATATCATAAATTCTCGATATATTCGAGTGTATCTATTGTTAGATTTCATTGGTAATAAGTTTTGTGTTATTGTTCTAGCTTTCTCTTCAAAAATTGTTGTTATTCTGTATTTTGAACTAGAACTTGTGTCCAGAGAATTATAATCTTCACTATTTACATTGATTTTAAAATTCAATTATATAACTAGTAGTATTTAGATATAAATAAAGTTTAGTGGTTGATCGTCTTTTATTTTTGAATAAACAAAAGCTAACTGTGTATGACATAGCTAAGCACATAGCAGGGTGAGCATGCGTAGAATGATTTTTAAATTTTCATCCCGGAAGAAATACTGTTGTTTAATATATATTATTCTTAATTTTTATCTAACTAATCTGATTGTTTTGTATTAAATATTTAATATTTTGTAAATGTTAATAATTATTACTGATTATTGTTTCAATTAAATTTCAATCATATCATCAGCAAACAAAAACATCCAAAAAAATCAATTATCGATATGACATAAAAATTAATAACCCAATAAAAAATTATCAATATTGATGGTGTATTTATTATTAACAATGCAAATTGAAAGTGGCTAAAATGAATTGGTATTTAAAGATATTTTTTTCCAAGAATCAATTAAATCGATGTAAACTACTCTGTAGACACGAAAAGTCAATTAATTGGCCGCAAAATAGCAGATACTGAACTATGTATAATCACTAGTAAATACGGGACACATATTATTATAACATTGGTCCTGTGAAATTTTATTAAAGGTATTTGGTCTCTCTATACGTGTATGTGTGTGTGTGTTCAATGAGCCAATTGACAATTCAATATTCTATATAAGTCAATACATAAAAATGTTACGATATATTCTTTAAAACGTTACACTGAGTAAATAGTTAAGTTATGGTTTCAGTAATCAGATCCATATTTTACTATTGTTAATTATTATAACTATGATAACTAATGAATTTCCCATCAATATCGCAGGTTGAGATGAAAGGGCTAACAGGATTAATAAAATTCGATCATCAAGGATTCCGCACTGATTTCATGCTTGACATAATTGAGCTCAACAATAAGGAAGGTCTTAAGAAAATTGGCACGTGGAACAGCACTGAAGGAGTTAATTTTACTCAGACATTTGGAGAAGTTTATACACAGATCGTTGAAAATTTGCAAAACAAAACATTTATTGTGACAACGATTGAAGTAAAGATTTATTTTGAATTCAGTTAGAAATGTATGAGCATTAATGAGAGATGATTTCTAATATTTTATCGAGAGCTATACCGATCATTCATTTTAGAAGTGAAAAATAGTTTTACTTAATAAATTTGTTAAATAGAGTATTATATTATATATGATATATATTATAGAGTATATTATAAATTGTCAATACTACAAGCTTTAAACATGAACAATTAAGAATAAGCAGACTTTCAGAGTAGAAATATTTAATAAAATAAAAAAGCTACATTGTCCTAAAAGGATTTTCATCCATTTTCGATATTATATTCACCATCATTAATGAGAAAAATTTTTTCCATTTAACCATTTCCAATTAAATAGTTTCTGATAAGTGAAACATATTTATATATATTTTTGTAAGAATCACATGTTTTACTATTGAATTCAAGTTGTAATTTGGGTAAATGATATAATTCGATAAAAACTCGAGGTGAAGACTACAATTTGAATACCTATTTTTCAAAAACTCAATTATTACAACTAATAAAATAACGATGTTGTAGTACAGGTTTTATATGAAAGCTATTTGTCAAATGAAAATAAATAGAGTTGTTCAGATCCAACAATTGTTATTCATAGAGAAGAGTGTCTCATTCTTGGTTTAACATCGAACTTAGTCCAATGTTCGAATGATAACATGCTAATCTTGCTTCCTGCCAGGAAAAGTGTTTAATTTCAACGAAAAAATCTGCAACGTTCTAAAAGTGAAGGCATAAGAACGTCAATTAAGTTTATAATCATGCCCGTACAACATTCTATCTCACGCCTTTTTAAATTATTGAATACTCGTACAAATTTCCAAGGAAGTGTACTCTTTTTTTTGCTCATACGTTATTAATTGATCAAACAAAATTATTGAGGTTCTCTGATTACTAAACAACTTTCTCCACTTTACTTTCTTCAGAGTGCACCTTACTTCATGTTAAAAATTTCAAGCGACAAACTCCAGGGAGATGCTCAGTACGAAGGATACAGTGTTGATCTCATTCATGAAATATCACGTATCCTTGGTTTTAATTATACCTTTCATCTTGTTCCTGATAAGAAATATGGCTCATATAATAAGGAAACGAAAGAATGGGATGGAATGATCAAAGAGCTATTGGACCAAAGGGCTGATCTAGCTATAGCAGACTTAACAATAACTTACGAACGTGAGCAAGCAGTGGACTTCACAATGCCATTCATGAACTTAGGTATTTAATGAAATAAACTCAAATATAATAAAATCAAAGATTAAATAAATTATCAAAAATATTTAAATAATATATATAAATCCTTTTTAATCTGTTCGTAGGGATAAGCATACTCTATCGAAAGCCGATCAAAAAGCCACCGAATTTGTTTTCTTTTTTAAGTCCACTGAGCCTTGATGTTTGGATTTACATGGCAACTGCTTACCTCGGGGTGTCCGTCCTTCTATTTATTTTAGCTAGGCAAGTACAACATTTTGTTTAAGTTGATTCAATACTAAAAAAATTTATCAAATTACATTCAACTTTTAAAAAAGAGTGATTTTAACATGAAAGAGTTAATTGATTCAGATTTACACCATACGAGTGGTTGAGTTCTCGACTGTGTGGAAAAAATTGCACTCATGTGGAAAATCGTTTCAAGCTTATCAATTGTCTCTGGTTTACAATCGGTTCTTTAATGCGTCAAGGCAGCGATATTTTGCCCAAGTAAGAGAGCTCTGTGAAAAATGGCTTCTAAGTTAATTAAATAGCTGCATTACTCTCTTAAACAACAACACAAGTTTACTGTTCCTTTCACTTATATCAATTTTCGCAAAATAAAGTTTCTATGGATTTCAATTTGATTGATGTTAGCATGGAATTAGACTTTAGAAAAAAATTATCACGTTACATTGTTCCGGAGTCAATGGTTAATTAATTAAAAAGGCTACATGTTACGCTATGTTTAATGAGTCAAGAAATCTCAATGAAGCTGAATGATGAACAAACTAAATTACGATTATTTTCAAGTTTTAAAATTATTTTTTGCTTTTGGTTTTAATTTTTTTTTCTTGATTTTCAACCTAAATTTGTACTTGAGATAAAATCGATCTTTATTGAAGTAAACATTATAGATACTGTAATCAGAAAAAAGTCTAGTGATGACTGAGGAATAAGTACCTGCAAAAAATTAATCTGATATTATTTTTTTAAAATCAATGATAGTACAAAGTACTATTTTATGATGGAATTTTCATTGGTGGACATTCAAACCATTATTAATTCATTTTTGTATAAATAATAAAACGATTATTAAGTATTAATGCCCAACTTATGCATATCTGTTCAGTTTATAAGTCAGATTACCATTTATCGGTGAATGTCAAATTTTCTTACTACACTCTTCCATCTGTCGGCTCTTTAAAAACCACAGAAATATACGTAAATGACAAATATAGGCGAAAATATTTAAATCTGTCGTTAGTCTCACGTTTATTTAGTTACTAGTGTTAATTAATACAGTTCTACTCAGAAAGCACTTCCAACCTGAGATCATTTTTAATCTATTAATTCTTTATGCTGTAATATTTTTTCTAATGTTTTTTTTGTTATTAAACTCACTCTAAATAATTAGAGTGGATTACAATGGACGTGTAGTTTATGAATCAATAAAATGAAAGTTTTTCAATATAACATTATAATCATATAGTTGAAAAAAATGTCTTTTTCCTTTTTTTAAATATTAATATGAAGTAAATATGATAGTGTAGCTATGAACTCAATTTTTTGTATCTATTGATTATTTTTGTAAACACTCCGACTCAAAACTGTATGAAAAAACAGACTTATAATTTGGTGCAGTTACTAAAATTTTTTTATTAATGCGTAAATTAAGTTAACTTCTATATTCTAATTTCATTGAGAACAATTAATTCATCAGAAAGAAGTATTCATCAAATAAACAAATCGCCCACTAAGATGTGAAATTGAAACCATTTTAATTAATTGGAATAAATTATTTTGAAAATTTGTTGTACATAATCATACCAGTATTACAATTAATCTCAAGCTTTTTTATATACATAAAGCTTTAATAAAGTTTTAGCCACGTTACGTGCATCTCATCCTACTTTCCATAAATTACCATAAATAAATGACATAAGAATGTTAAGAATTTATTCACAGAATCACTATTTGTTACTGAAATTCACCGTTGTATTTACCTTTATGAAGTGATATTGATATCTAAATCGGTTTAGTTTCAAAAATTCTCATAAAAAAATTAATAAAAATACTATAAAGATTCATTTCTCTTTTGATAGCTTTTAACAAATATTACTAAAATAATGTACATTAATTTTAGTGCAACTTATAATATGTTCCAAGGACTGGTTTTCAGTGCATTTTAAATACTCTAAAATAACACAATAAAATTGAAACTAATGTTTACCTTTGAAAATTTAACTTACTTAAATTTTGTCCACCTAAATAAATGAAGAAAAAAAAAATGCTACAGTGACATTAAAAGAGAGTTTGTGAACTTGTGTAACTTAAGAAATTTATTTGAGGTGAAAAAGAGATAAATCCCAATCTTTTCAGAGTCGTAACGGTGGATAGTAATCTGAAGATGTTTGAATAAAAGAAATAATTTTTTCCAGAATAAATGAAAATTGTTACGACCCTGAATCTAATCCTAATCTCCTTTCCATTAACGTGTCCGCAGGTTCAGTCCATACGAGTGGGAGAGTCCTAATCCATGCAGTGCCCAGTCTGAAGCTTGCGAGAACGAGTTTACCCTCCTTAACTCGCTCTGGTTCACCATAGGCTCACTCATGCAGCAAGGCTCTGATATAGCACCTAAGTAAGTTATCCGGTTGTTATAAAAGTATAATAAAAGTTACGCATATATCATTTTTCTCTCTAAGTTTTCATAAACAATTCTTGATGCTATATCGTAAGCTTGCTGCATTGGCCTACGTTAATGTTCTGCTTGATTCAAGATTTTTGTTTTCTTTTTTATTTTCTTTGAGTGTATGTTATTGCTGTGTTATTTTCTATATATAATTTTAGTACCTTGCTGTTGCTTATAAATTCAATTGCATGCTTTTTCGAAATGGACGAAGGATTTCTTTGTAATTAATGAACTCATTAACGTAGGAATTTTGAGAAATAAATTATTGGCACAAATAGTTTTGCATTATTTGTTATATTTGAATTAGTTTGATTTAACGTTGAAAATTTTATTTATTCCTCTAAAATAAATACACTTTAGTGTAAAAAAAAAGTCCTAACAGAACTTGAAATAAGTTTCATGGACATAATATTCTACTGATGAAATTAAGTAGAACTTTGGAGAATTCCTGACTAAGATTATGGAAGGTCTTTTTAGATTTTCTCAATTCTTTTCAAACATTCAATACAAAAAATATAATATTTTCTTTCAAAGTTATTATCAACATTATGGTAGTGAAGATGATTAACAATAATTATATTATTATAAACGTAAAAAAGAAATTACAGTTAATTATTATTATTATTTTATTGGAAATAAATACAACGTATTCTTAACATCCTTTGGTACTTGAGTCAAAATTTTGGTCGGATTTCAATTCACTACAAACGCTAGTGAAGATTTGGTGGGTTATATCACATTTAAAGATAGGAAACTATCAAATGGTATAAAAAACTGTTGCAGAATGACAATAAAATTTTTCTCGAATTCTGGTAATATTTTCTATGATAAGTTTACTTTATGAGTCAAGTAATAAAACTGATTATTTTTCTTCGTATATTGAGTTTGAAGTTAAAATTTTGATATAAATTTTTTTGAAGGGTATGGAGGATCTTTTTGGAGTCTGTAAAAATATGACTAAAATTTCGACTCAGGTAGACATCAAAATTTGTCGTTATAAATAAAGAAGTTGCTTACGAAATTACTTTTGATACTAATTTAATATTAAATCAAGATCAAAAGTAATTTTGATATATTTTATGAATGATATTAGCTTTACTTAATTTAAAGTAATTGTAAAATTAATTATTCATATTAAAATTTAAAATGCTTTTTACTTTTTTTTATTAAGTTTCAATTTCCAATAATAGAAGAATTATGCAATTGATCAAATTAATTATCATGTAAATCAATGATATGTTAGAATACTTTGTTTCAATAAATTTTTTTTTAAAGACAATAACTATTCATCCATCAAAAATCTTAAGAAAATAACATATAACAGTAGAATTTTCTAAAATGTTAATGAACATGTACGTATTAAGAAGTAAAGTTGGTCTAATCTTTATCTAATTTTAGAATTATTCAATAGATAAAAGTATAATATATTTTCAATCAAAATGAAGTTTCGATTATTATTTACCAACAATAATGCTCTAATGAGTATCATAATATTTAATGATAATGATGTCAATAATATCTCATTTTGACAATAGACTATTATTCAATGGTAGTTAGTTAAACTCTAATTGAACTATTAATCTCACAAATGTTCGAAAAGTTCATTAACTACAAAAAAATTCTTTTCACCATCACAATCTGTTTTAAAGTTTCATGAGAAATTTCTATAAACAATTTTCCAGAGCTGTATCAACAAGAATGGTGGCTGGGATGTGGTGGTTTTTCACACTTATCATGATATCATCGTACACTGCTAACCTGGCAGCTTTTCTAACAGTTGAGAGAATGGAATCACCAATTGAAAGCGCTGAAGATCTAGCGAAACAGACAAAAATTAAATATGGTGCATTGGGTGGTGGTAGTACCGCAGCGTTTTTTAGGGTGAGTCTATCATATTAACGATTTGATATATTTCAAGTAGTATATTAAGCTGAAAGAGTTTGAATGGTTATTCCATAAATACAACAAACTTCATAATATCCATAAAATATTTTATTGCGTAAAACTATAACAAATTGTCCAAGTGATATATTTTATCAAGTATTTTTCATGTATGTAATTCAGGACTCGAATTTTTCAACATATCAACGGATGTGGTCATTCATGCAGTCAGCACAACCTAGTGTATTCACAAAAAGCAATGTGGAGGGAGTAGAATGGGTGATCAAGGGAAAGGGGACTTATGCGTTCTTGATGGAATCTACATCTATCGAGTACGTGATTGAACGTAACTGCGAGCTCACTCGAGTTGGCACTGAACTGGATTCTAAAGGATATGGCATTGCAATGCCGCCAAGTAAGCAATAAATTTTATATATCATATGTCATTTTACAGGAATTTGATTTACGAAATATAAAGTAAAGTAACTGAATATAAATTTTGATGTGATATATGCAGACTCACCATACAGAACAGCAATCAGTAGTGCAATTCTAAAATTGCAAGAGGAAGGAAAGCTACATATATTGAAGACACGATGGTGGAAGGAAAAACGGGGAGGTGGTAAATGTAGAGTAAGTTGAGAAATTGGCGTATTTCTCTAATTTTCATAAGTTTTACTCTGTATAAGTGCATCCAAGAAGTCAATAATTAGATTTGTAAAAAAATCGAGATAGAAAAATAGATGAGAAGGTTATTTTCCTACTCAAGCGGTGTAAAAGAGATTCTTAGTTTCTTATCCTGTATGTCTTGGATAATTGGCAAAGTTTGCCCAACATGACTGAAACTGGAATCGATTCTCAAGGAACTACGTAGGGGCATTTTATCTTCGTAGCTCTCATGGTATCTATGCTAATTTAATTTCCTTTTTTTGTACATTTTGACTATCACATTAACATAACAACAGAAGAATTGTGTAGAAGATCCAGCATAATTGTGAATAAAAAAGTGATACTAATGAAAATCGATTAAGAAAAACTAAAATGACTCAGACGGAAAGTCTAGGATAAATTGATTAATGAAAACTTAAAACAGATTTAGATTTAAATTATTATTCGTCTATTCGATTCTACCGAATCATTTGGAAATTACTTGAATTCACGTTTTACTTGATTAAAAAAAAAATTACTTTGTTTACTTTTTGTTAACGTGTAGATCAACATAAAAAAAGATATGTTCTAAGCCTACCTAAACCCTTTTATAAAAAAAGTAACATCGAATCGACGAAACCACTCAATTTGATCTAATATATTTTAAGCTGATTTTTTTTTTAGATAAAAATCTTTTTTTACAACTGACCATAGTTCTTTTTCAACTGAGTAATCGGCTGTTAAAGATCAGTCAATGGCTTTCAACTTTAAATTCTGATAACTATTAAAAAGTGGCCAATTACTTTTAAATTATCAGATATTATTAGAAAGTTGACAAAAAATCCTCTTCATGATCATCGAATTCAAAAGTGATTTGTTTTTTGTAGTCTAATTTTAGTTCAAATCACGGATATCACGTTAAAAAATTTAACCAACATAAAATTTAATAACCTTTATTATGGTTTGATGCTTACGAGGATAGGATTGTCTACATTTTTGATATTTTCTATTTCATCAACATTCCATTGTTACTTATTAGAACACCTTCTTTGGATACTTGTCCCAAGAAATTTTAATAATAAAAAATATGTACCTAATTTGGATATTAAATTGGTCGTATTTTGATAAACTACTAATAAATGCTCTCAGATATTTATTATCAAGTATTAATTGAATTGGGGTTGACCAACAGATAAAGACTATCCAGAGATCGTATGAATTTTTGGAATTATAAAAGAAAAATATCAAATTTTGGTAATTATATAGTATTACTCTGTTATTTTCGCTAAAAATGGAGTTATACTTTTGATGATGCTGATCAAGAATACATATATACATATATATATAAATCCATCTAATGTATTATTTGGAGACAGGGGACTGGTATCCCCCTCTCAATTTTCAAAATTCGGTTAAAGAAAAAAAATAACCCTGCAAGTACAGTGTACCTTTGTGTACCTCATTTTCACCTTTTTTTTCTTCAAAAAACAAAAATAAATTCATCACAACGTGGCAACGTCGTGTCCTCAAATAATACCTTATACATAGACCAGTGGTCCAAATAATACGTTGGATACATGATTTTTTTTGGGGACTGTCCCTAAACTATACAAATGTCCTCAAATAATACCTTGTACTTAAGAAATGTCCCCAAATGACACTCTGATTAGATTTATATCTAAATATGGTGCCGAAATCAAAACAAATACAGTTTTTCAATATTAAAAAATTTGATTTTTCCGATTTTTTTATTCTAATTATATAATGTTTTCGAATTCTATTATACGAAATACACCTGTACAATAAAAAACGTATTTTATAGATGAATAAAAAATGAGCAATTAAGTGTTTATAATCTCTGTTTTTATTTTCGATTGATTTTGTCACCTACGATCTAAATTATAAACACTCCCCCTCACCTCCATCCACTTCATTGCTCCTTTCTTTATTTATCTGTATAATACTTTTTCCATGGTATAGGTGTATTTTGTATAATAGATTTGATCAATTACCATCGCAACAAGTCATGTTCCGATGAAATCCAAGTAGAAATAATATCGTGATTTTTAAAACTTTAACATGAAAAAACTATGTTAAAAATGGTTCCCGTGCCCAATATATATATATATATATTGGTTTAAACGAAATGGTGTTTAACCACCAAATCCGTAGAGTGTACGTCCTTGACGCTTGAGTGCGTAGACTACATCCATAGCCGTGACAGTCTTACGTTCAGCGTGCTCAGTATAAGTAACTGCATCGCGGATCACGTTTTCAAGAAAGACTTTCAAGACTCCACGAGTTTCTTCGTAGATCAATCCAGAAATACGTTTCACACCACCTCGACGAGCAAGACGACGGATGGCAGGTTTCGTGATTCCTTGGATGTTATCACGAAGCACTTTACGATGCCGCTTGGCGCCTCCTTTTCCAAGTCCTTTTCCTCCCTTACCACGACCAGTCATGATGATTCAGTTGGATATGATAGCTATCCTCCCCATAGCTACACAGTACGTGTATTCTATCATGCCTCCTAAAACAAGTGGTAAAGCTGTCAAAAAGTCTGGCAAAGCCCAGAAGAATATTTCTAAAACTGATAAATCAAAGAAGAAGCGTAAGAGGAAGGAGAGCTACGCTATCTACATTTACAAAGTACTCAAGCAAGTCCATCCTGATACTGGAATTTCTAGTAAAGCAATGAGTATCATGAATAGTTTTGTCAACGATATTTTCGAACGTATCGCCGCTGAGTCATCCAGGTTGGCTCATTACAACAAAAGATCGACGATTACATCACGCGAAATTCAAACAGCTGTTCGACTACTTCTACCTGGTGAGCTAGCTAAACACGCTGTAAGTGAAGGGACAAAAGCTGTTACTAAATACACCAGCTCCAAATAAATTGACCCTGATAATAAACAAAGGGGAATGATATATATATATATATATATATATATATATATATATTCTTACTCAGAAAGATCATCTTTACAACGTACTTCATTTTCAACGAAATCAAAAGTGACAGAGTAATACTATATAATTACCCAAATTTTTATCATACAAAGTGAGTACGAAAACAGTATGAAAACTTGAGAATCGATTTGCTAACAATATTTGATCACTGATAAATATTTTAAGTTACACGGAGAAAATAGTCATGACCATATTTCTAGAAGTCTAGGAAACTTTACTACACGGAGAAAAATGCAAAATATAAATTATAGTCCAGCACTATAAATTGGACGCTTTTTGTCAGTTTAGTGATTTTTATAAATATTTAAATAAAAAATTATAAGTTTTACTTGGAAAATTGTAGTTTAGCTAATGATTTTTATTGTTCAGCACGGTAATTTTTTTGGAATAATTGATAGAATTTTGAAGAAAAATGAGAGGAAAAAAAATACATTTTACTTGTTTTCCTATAATTTTTCTATTGCGGCACGGTAAAATTTCACTTTCTCTCTCACTCCAAGTACACAGGCGATTGAAGGCCCATATTTTACTGTTTTAAATAATAATGTTGTATTGTTACATTCAAACCATTTAGTCCGGTCAAATGAGGGAAATGGGATAATTTTGGTTTGCTGCGGCCAAAGTGATGATTTATAGATGACTAGATCGGAAATATCGCGAGGAACACGATGGTGTAGGTCAAAAATGTTTGGCACGCATAGGGAGGGAGGGGGAAGTAGGTCGCGAAAAACCGCCTCCTATCGCGAATTTCTCGATTTTCTATCATAGATATGAAAGAATATTTTAAATAGAAGTTGTTCAGAATGTAATTTTAATAATAAATAGTACTGAATACTTTTTTTCATATCTATGCTAGATAAAAAGTTATTCGCGACTGAAGCTTCACTATTGACAAAAGATAGAAAATCGAGAAATTCGCGATGGGGGGGGGCGGTTTTTCACGATCTACCCCTATGCGTGCTAAACATTTTTAGCCTACACCGTCGTGTTCCTCGCGATATTTTCGATCTAGTCATCTATAAATCATCACTTAACATAACGCATAATCAGAACAAAGAAAGAGACGTTTAGTTTTCCATCGAAGATATCTTAAAGAAAAAATGAGTCAGTCTATCAAAAAGTTCTAATGAGCGCACTGTGTCGTAATTAAAAAAATTTGTGGTGTAGTCAATTCAAGTTAGAATGAAGCCGTTGGTTTTTTCCTTGTCATTCGTTCAATTGCAATGAATCATATTGCTGAATTCAATTTTCAACTAAGTTGTGAGTTGGGTTCTTCATTGTTTGAATCAAGCCCAGCCTTGGCAATCAAGTAAGTCTTTGGTCACATGTCTATTGGAAGATTCAACATGAATCTTCACGAAGTTTAACACTTCTGCTGACAGAACCATTTAATTCAATTCTAATAAAGTTCGATTAAAAATGTTGATTCAATGCTGTGTCTAATTTTGGGCATACGTTTTACTCTCTGAGAAAATACCAATTCATATTTTCTTTCGGGACTCAACAGCTTCAACCTCTTAATTATCGTTCAACACTGGTCTGCGATCACCTCGACGTGTAACCACCTCTCTACATTTTACTTTATCTTAGATCAGCTATTTTAATTTTAGTTATAAAAGCCTAATTCAAAATTTGGTAAAAAATACTATTTTTTTTTAACTCCTTTCGGTTCGTCAAAGGTGTCTGGCCAGGGATCCCAGGGCTCCGATCTACCTGGGGCCTGTCCAGACGGGATTATCCTGCAGGTACCCGACTCCCTCAGGTTTGAGGGTGAGCCAGAGCTGCAGCCGTTCAGTCATTTGTTACAGACGTCTCAGGATACGGAAAGAAGCAAAGATGACCGCTTTTTGCATACGAGCCGCGAGAATCTCAGCCTGACTACGGCAGACTGGTATTGTTCGAAGCTCTGTCAGAAAGCGGTCTCTCATCCCTCCAAGGGCGCCAATCACCAGGACTATCACGTGCGCTGTGTATTCGTGATAGATATTTCTCATGACCTCCATGAGCTCTCTGTAGCGTTCCTGTTTATTCCCTTCTTTTGCACGTATATTTGTCTCAGCCGGGGCTGAGAACTCAATGTAATATACGTGCTTGGTGATATGGTCGAAAAGAGTAATATCCGGCTTATTGTGTTCAATACGTTGGGGCGTAGAGAGCGGGTAATTCCAAAGAATTTTTGCTCTCCCGTTCTCAACGACTGACTCAATTTCACCGGGCACATAGGGCAGCACTGGTGTCTCGTCTATTCCATAAGAGTGCCGAAGGTGGTAATACAGCACTCTTAGGGCGGCGTTATGCCAGTGAATGTAGGCTGAGCGCGCTAATATCGGACAAGCCGATAATACATGAAATAGCGTCTCATCTACATCACCGTGGCAAACTCGGCATCTTGTGTCCTCGAGTTGCTCGTGCATAACATCACGCCAATAGGCGAGGGTAGAAAATACACCATCTTGGCAGGCCATAATGAATCCTTCGGTCTCAGAGAACAAGCCAGCTGACTTAAGGTATTGAAAAGTCAGCTGGTGTGTCAACTCCTGTGTTTCGAGATAACGATAAAACACACCATGCTGCTCTATATAGGAACGCATCCCTTACCAATAGTTCAAAACTGTTCACGAACTTGAGAAGAGGATCAGAGCTCTCATAGATGTCATAAGCTAAGCCTATCACTAACCTCTCATGTAGACACTCCAAACTTAGTAGTCCACGCCCTCCCAGATCACGGGGAAAGTATAGGCGTTGGACAGAAGATCGCGGGTGATGACTTCGATATAACGTCATCACTTTTCTCGTGATAATGTCTAGCTCTTTAAGTTATTTTCGGGGCCATTTAAGAACTCCGAATGAATATAGCAAGACTGGGACAGCGAGCATATTCGTGGCTTTGACTTTGTTAGGGCCTGATAATTCAGAGCCCCATATTCTCTTAAGTCGCCACTTGTACTCACTGCGGAGAGTATCTTTGATGACAGACACGTCCTGTAGAGGAGATTGTGCCTGTCCAAGATATCGGTATGACTCTCCAGCATCCAGATGTTTTATGATGCTCCCGTCTGTAAGCTCGACATTATCACTCCAGTTCGGTGATCTTTCTTTTACTAAGTGGGCAACTGCGCACTTGTCCAACCCAAACTCCATGCCGACTGCACTGGTATACCCGGAAACAACCTCTAGGGCTGTTCGGAGTCTCTCAGGACTTGCCGCGTACACTTTCAAGTCATCCATATAAAATAGATGTGTGACTTTGTGTACGCGGTCGGAGACTCGTCCAGCTTTATATCCAGGCGTTCGGCGTAGAGTGACAAATAATGGCAGCAGTGAGATGCAAAATAGAAGAGGACTCAGGGAATCTCCCTGGTATATACTCTCCTAAATGGCACTGCTTTGGTGGACACTCTCGTTTTACCAGATGTTACGGTGAAACGTGTCCTCCAGAGCGGCATCAGATGTTCGATGCATCTTACTATTTGTGGGGGTACTGAAAGGCATTCGAGCAAGTATCGGAAAAGCTCCTGCGATGTTGTATCAAATACCTTTCTGTAATCCACCCAAGCCATTGACACGTTGCGCTTGTAGTAGTATGCGTCCATTGTGACGCATCGGTCTACTAGCAAGATCTTCTTGCAACCTGTCAAGCCACGCTTGCTGCCACGTTGTTCGTTTATCTATCTCCATACAGGTTCTATTGCAGTCAAAATCCTCTCGTTCAAAATCTTCGTAAATAATTTGTAGAGAGTATTCAGACATACAATAGGCCTGTAGTTCTTGGGATTAGACAGATCACCACTTTTAGGAATCAGCACAGTGCGCTCTTCAACGAGCCAGCCAGGAATGGGCATATCTCCTCTTAGATATTCTGAGAAGATACGAGCCAGATGCTGGTGGGATGGTGTCAATTTCTTCTACCAGAAGGTGGGGATTGCATCTGGCCCAGGGGCAGCTCAGTTCTTTGTGCCTCTTAGAGCATTCCAGATCTCATCAATGCTAACTCGTTGAAACTCTTCAGGAATTCGTGATAGATGTTCGTCACAGAATTCTCTGAAAAGTTGAAGGGCTGGAGTGTCTACATCTAGCGCACTAGCGCGACCATATATTTCGGTCCAGTAGGTTTCGACTCTTTCTGCACTCGGAGGCTCATAAGTGACAGGGGCTTGCGGCTTAAGAAAGCGCGAAGGGTCAGATTGGAACAATCTGTTGTCCCTTCGCCGCTTGTACCACTTCGCTAATGACTTTTTAATGGCCATTAGCGATCTTATTTTGCCTGTGCTTCTTTCCTTTAGGATCAGTAACACGGCGGTATTCAAAGTGTGATGTTCACGTCTTATACTCGCCACGATACGCTGAATTCTTGGCGTATAAGGCCTGCGAGTATTTAAGTGATCTATCACACTTTGAATACGAGATGCACCCTGTCGAGTCTTTTTGATCTTATTTGCAGTCTGTTCGATGCGTCTTTTCAGGCTTAACTCAGGATTGACAGGTGTTCGTCTGCCCTGAGTAAACCTTCGAGCCACATCATAGACTGCATTATTCAGTGCAAAAAGGTCTACACCATCTGGTACCTGATGGTCGTGATCTTCGTCGTCACTAGCTAGATGTTCTACAGAGCAGCCTGCACCGCCTGCGTTAGATGTTGTAAGTCTGGGTGCATTTCGCACCACAGAGTATGCAGGCGCCTGGCATACCCTGAGGTCTATGGCCCGCATCCTTCCCAATACTGCATCAAATCCCGTCTTAGCTCCTCTGTCCACCTGAGACGCTGTAGGGGTGGTCCGTGGTCAATGTTTACATTGAAACGTATCGTAAGGCCCCTCCTAACTGTTTAACGAAGCCGAGATGGGTAGTTTCGTTCCTCACGCCCAGAAGGCCATTGCCTGTGAGGAGGAAAAACTATTACTATTATTATAGTTCAAGAAATATTATACTCTTCATATTCTCTATCATACAAATCGTGGCGGTTAACGCAGAAAATGCGAAAAACCAATTAATAAAAGTAATTGAAATAATTAAAAAATTATTTTTGATAGACTCTATGTGTATGCTGAACACAAATTTTACGTATTCTAAGTTTGAACAAAGTAGAAAACGCAGATTTTAAGTTAGTTAAGAATATTCCATTGAGAAGATTTGAACCTACGATTGCTTATATTTTTCTCCGTGTACCTTACAGTTAATTTGAAATTATATTTTGTTATTGATTCAATATATTACTAAAATACAGTGAAAAATTGTTGAATGTTAACCACTGTAGCAACTTGAGTCAATAAAAAACCAGTCAAAACACATGATAACAATTATTCAAAATTTTAGCAATATCTGTCCCAACTCACAATTTATTTCCGATTCCCTCACGTTGCTCTGATAATTCGAACATTTTTTCAGTGTATAACTGTACACTATTCTCGTATCTGTTAAATTTTCTCAAAAAACGACTTTACTTTTCCGTATGATTAGATTTACCAGATCAGTTTTAAAACAATATTCATTAGTTAAAATTATTAAGATACTTTATAGCGAACGACATGAAACAATTGATAATTTACTATTTACATTTACATTTGAAAAATGAATAATTTTAGTCACCTCTCGCTGCAGACTAATGAAATTTTTACTAAATAATTAATATTTATGGACAAGGGTTTGTGTATGAACGAATTGATTAAGATCTAGCATGACTACGTATTAATTAAGTAAATGTTCGTTTCTTTTAGGAAGATAATCAGAAAACTGGTTCAACTGCTAATGAGCTGGGACTTGCCAATGTTGGTGGGGTCTTCGTAGTCCTAATGGGTGGCATGGGTGTAGCTTGTGTAATAGCAGTGTGCGAGTTCGTGTGGAAAAGTCGGAAAGTAGCTGTCGAAGAGCGGGTGAGTGTCGTTAAGTAACACGAGGAAATCGGAATCGAGACTGGATGTGCTTTAAGTGCAAGTCACCTCGATCCCGATGCTAGTTGCTCTGATGTCCCACGTGAATATATCAGCTGATGTACGCACTCGGGTGGAGTTCCTCTTTAATGGTCTTGCAGCGCGTACAAGAGCACCCAGGTTTAAAAGAATCTAATACCATGCTATTGCTTCCCTTTATCAGCCACATTGTTACAATAAACTCCAGCAGCTTTTTTGTAGATTTTCCAAATTTCTTACCGAAGATTTCTTTCCTTCTGTTTTAGAAGCAGAAGTCTTCAGAGAAAAGTATCTGCGAGGGTTTTACCGATCTCCATTAGCAGAGCTCAAGTGCAGTGTAGTGATACAGTCAAAAGTCAAAACTTGAATAAATATTAATTGTTTGAAATAAAGCTTGTGTTTCTTGTACGCTCGCTGACCTGGATTCGAATTATGAAGAGGAATTTCACCGCTCGAAAAGTCTCTAAATTGTGTTTGAATATGAATATCTTCTGTATGAAGATTGATTACAAAAAAAAAATAACATTTGATGAGAATACACTTACAGTTGGCAACAAAAAACTAACTTTGACCTCCTCATTTCTTTCAACTTTTTAAAAATACATTTTTATGAAAGAAAAAAAAACTCGAGAAGGTCAATACATCTGTCAATTGCTCATATCAACATTTAAAGCAACTGATCGGAAACTTGGAGTTTTCATACATCATAAATATATGCTGTTAGTAAAAAAAGTATAATAATCACATAAATATATTTGATGCGAGTATGGGATTATTAATATGCGAGAGTTTTTTTAATTTATACATGATAAGAAATAATAAACTAAAATAGAAATCACTGTCATTTTATACTATTTAGATAGAGATACATATATGTATATCCACAGAAAGACATAATACTTGTATATGAACTGTAGCTTTGATTATCAGCTGAATGTCTGATACGTCATTTGTTAAATAATAACGATTATTATTATTATTTTTTTAATTTTTATCAAAAGAGATATTTAAATAGAAAATAAAACTATTTGTTAAAGAATAACTAAAATCAAAATTTGAGGGTAGTAATATAAAAGTTAAGTATGACATTGTTAGTTCTGTCGCGTATGTTTCTTGCTTTCCTTCGCGTTGGATGAGTAGAAGGTAAATATAGCTTTCATGATTTATATAAAATGATTCCAAACATATTATCAACAATAGTATGAGATGCATTTTTATTTTACTGTAGAAATCTTTACACTCGGATATCACGAGTGAGCTGCGATGTTCTATGGACAGCACCGACAGCCTTGAAAAATCCACAAAGATGATTTCATGCTATTGGCCCAAGCATCATACAAATCTATCTACAGTGTCAGAGGTTGGGTCTACTCCTGGATATTCAAAGTACAGTCATTTTCAAGGGAACCCATTGACTTAGAAATACATAACAATCAACTACTATAGTAATATATATGGATAAAAAAATAATAAATATGATGAGCTTGTGTTATTCTTGCGAAACCGATAAAAATAGAAGTAAATGTCTTAATTCTTGACAGTATTATCAGAATCGATAATCATTTTAATTTAATTTATAATTTTTTTCATTTTCAACTATTCTCACTTACACTTTGTCTCATAATAAAATAGTCGACGGCTGTTCTACATCTAAAGTGATTAAAAAATAAACAAAATTCTGAAAATTATTAGTAAAATATGCTTGAAGTTATTTGGAAGTAATATTATATCCAGTAATATTAAGTTTTTCTAAGTTTAATAGAGATTTAAAAAATTACAGAATGTATGGAGTAGAATTCGGAGAATAGTTAGAACATCTTGAGAGATGGAAACTCTTCATTATGACATTCTTTGTAATTGATGTTTTGAATATTTTGAAGTAAAATATAATCTTTGTAGGGCTTTATGAAGTTCAATAAGTTTTGTAAATGTATTTTTTATATTTACAAATGAAAGACCAAAGTTACACTGGGGTTGATATTATATAATGATTCGTATTACTTATATCCTTGATTTCGACCACTTAATAATAGACCAGTCAGTTTCTAATGATCACAATTTTCAATCTAAATACATGTTGACTTTATTTGTTAATTTGGATTTAAACTACAGACGTATTCAATGTTAAACATACCTTCTAAAATTCTATCAATTCATTTATTTAATATTAATACTAAACTTGAAGGATCCAGAATTTGTCACCTTTAAACCAACTCTAGTAAAAAAAAGTAAAGATCAAGGAATTTGCAATTCAATAAATTAGAATGGAAGCAATAAAGGATTAACTACAAATCAAGGAAAAGATGAATACATTATTTTCATTTACATAAAGTAGATCTCCTAATTCATATAATATTTTAAAAGCAGAATCCATCAGTATTATGTTATATAAAACTCCAAGTATTCTTACATAAGTAAATTACTGAATATACAAAAAAAAAAAATTTTATAGGAATATAAAAAAGAATTAAACTACATTCCATCTATTTCATTAAACTTGCAATAACTTAGTCCTTTATGTTTCAAAATAAAACCCAAATCCATCATAAGTCTATAACTTACAAGTATTTGAGTTTGGTTTTTAGATATTAAATTATAACTTATTGATTTCTATACCATAGATATATTATTATCTCTTTAACTCTGTTATGAGAAGTTGAAATAAATGTTTTTTATTGCTAAACAAAATAAATAACTGAAAAAAGAGCAAATGTGATGTGAAATCTATCGATATTGTAAATAAATGGATTTTCATTAGTGTAAAAGAATGAACGGAAGAACGAGAAATAATTTAATGTTAAGAAGATAAAACATGTATTTTGATTTGAATTCATCCAACATACTCTTAAAAATCATATTGACGCATTCGAATATTGCCTAAATATACATTTTCAGTCCTTTGGTTAAATCATATTGATATAAAACTATGTTTTTAAATTATCATTATTAATAATAATTATTATTATTATTAATATTTTTATTATTATATAAATACACTACTCTAGTAACTGTATGAATCATCGAAGATAATCTCAGAATAAAAATAATTCTGTAAATCTCATATTTCCTCAACGATAAATAATTTATTTTGGATGCAATAGAAATTATTGCTAAGCTCATCTTCATAGTAAAATTCTGTCCCGATAAGATTCCTTGTCACTTTCCTTTTCTCTATCCAGAAAGAACGAAAAAAATAGATCTGAGCACACTTTGTTTGTGCTAACACGACGAACATCCCATTAGTAATTGTTTATAACAAATTTAAATAGTTATAATCAATGTTTGTTGAAAACATCCAAATCCATGTGGTGAATACATTACTTATTCAATAAATACAATTTTGAATTGTTTATAACAAATTCATATTGTTATAAACAATATGTAATTTTTACGACTGATTTTTCATCATTAATAATATTACTTTTTTTAAGCATTCAAATCCGTGTGATATACGCATTAGATAATCGATGAACACAATTTTCAATTGTTCATAACAAATTCGTATGGTTATAGACAATGGATGTTTGATAAAAGTTATATTTAGTTGTGAACAGTAATGTCTAGTCAGTATCGACTCAATTTTCAAATGAAGATGTTATTTGACTTTAAAGTATTTTGAATAGCTAATCTTTTTATTTTTTTATAAGTTACTTTATTATAAAAAAAACGGCTTGACTGAATTTGTTTAAATTTCACTCAGATCTTCTTTTTGATAATATCTTTCGAATTAACTTTGCTTAAAGTCGATATCTCAATCCGTTCTTGAGATATGGAAAACGAAAACAATGCTGACGTCCATACATACATACATACATACATACGTACGTACGTACGTGCACACACACATCGTTCTAAAAATTGGTCAGTATGCTTGCAAATATCATGAAACGTGGAGATATGATGAAAATTAAAATTTCACCAATTGTTCCAACTTCAATAACTTCCTAATGGGAAGTTAAGTTAAAAAGACAAACAAACTTAAACAAGATTATGATTTCGAAATTTCTTGAATAAAAATTATTTAATCAAATTCCAATTGTCACAGAAAAGGATTCTATCAAATTCACCATCAACGATGCACTCATCTCTATTCCACTACCGTATGATATTTGTTGCTGAAGTTATTGCAGTTTTCATATTTTAAAAAATTCTCACGGAGAACAATAGCAAAGCTCGGAACGCCTTCCTTAGCAAGGAAAAATAATAATGACAATTTTCCTTCAAATATCATGAATTGTAATTGTTTTTAAAGAATTATTAACATTATGATAAAGTTAGAAAATCTTAACAAATAACAGTAAATAATTCAGGGGTTTATCATTTTAGTGGATTGAAATAAAACTTTACAGTAAAGGAATTTTTTTTGCCTCATATTTAGTTCTGAGAATTTTTGATTCTGCGCTGCCTGATACGCTGCTCTATATAGGAACGCATCCCTTACCAATAGTTCAAAACTGTTCACGAACTTGAGAAGAGGATCAGAGCTCTCATAGATGTCATAAGCAAAGCCTATCACTAACCTGTCATGTAGACACTCCAAACTTATTATCGGCGTAAAAAGTATAGGCCCCTCACTTTCAAAAGCGATATAGAAAAAAATAATAATCTCATTAAGTTGCGTGAGGAATCAATGGAAAGAGAAACCGATTCTACAACTTCTCTGAAAATTTCAATGCAATAAATTAAAAACTTCGCGAGTTACAGAATTTTTTAGAGTAAAAAACCATGTTTTTAGCGGTCAATTTTTCATGAGGGAAGTTTACACGATCGTAGCAATGCGAAAAATATAGGGATCGAATTGAAAATTTTATCGTAGTTAGGGAAGACGTTTAAAAATAAAATTAAGTTGGAAAAAAAATTTTTTTTAATAAACAAAAAAGTTACAACAAATAATATCAGAGGACAATATCTCGGCACCAAATGATGATAGAAAAATGAGACAACATCGACATGAAAGAAAAAAAATTATAGAGAATGTATCGCAAATAATAGATAGCAAAAAAAAAGAAACCGCGAAAATACATAACATTTAAAAAATCATGCAGGTGTTTATGACAGTCATTAACGGCAAGGATAATCCATCGTAAACCTTTTCTTCTCATATATAAGCTTAAACATATAAAAGTAAGAAAAAAACTATATTTTTCAACAAACATCATAAAAGAATTTTTATTCCTTAATATTAATATTGAAAAAAGTTACAGATTTTCAAAGGTGATAAAATCATGTTTTCTGTACCTTCTGCTCTTAAATTGATGCTCTCATAATTGCCCGCGAGCTAATTCGCGGTTGATAATATTTTTAAGTAGATGGAATTATAAATCAGACTATTCTCTATTAGTCTGCCATTTTTTATTCCTTAATATTAATATTGAAAAGAGTTACAGATTTTTAAAGTTGAGAAAATTATGTTTTCTTTTCCTTATTTTCTGTAGTGGATGCTTCCGTGCAAGTTGTGTCTATCTTCTTTTGCCCCTTAAATATTTTACCTATTTTACGCCCTTCTGTGTGTCATTCTTTTATGATGTTTGTTGAAAAATATAGTTTTTTTCTTACTTTTATATGTTTAAGCTTATATATGAGAAGAAAAGGTTTACGATGGATTATCCTTGCCGTTAATGACTGTCATAAACACCTGCATGATTTTTTAAATGTTATGTATTTTCGCGGTTTCTTTTTTTTTGCTATCTATTATTTGCGATACATTCTCTATAATTTTTTTTCTTTCATGTCGATGTTGTCTCATTTTTCTATCATCATTTGGTGCCGAGATATTGTCCTCTGATATTATTTGTTGTAACTTTTTTGTTTATTAAAAAAAATTTTTTTTCCAACTTAATTTTATTTTTAAACGTCTTCCCTAACTACGATAAAATTTTCAATTCGATCCCTATATTTTTCGCATTGCTACGATCGTGTAAACTTCCCTCATGAAAAATTGACCGCTAAAAACATGGTTTTTTACTCTAAAAAATTCTGTAACTCGCGAAGTTTTTAATTTATTGCATTGAAATTTTCAGAGAAGTTGTAGAATCGGTTTCTCTTTCCATTGATTCCTCACGCAACTTAATGAGATTATTATTTTTTTCTATATCGCTTTTGAAAGTGAGGGGCCTATACTTTTTACGCCGATAATAGTAGTCCACGCCCTCCCAGATCACGGGGAAAGTATAGATATATTCTACACTGATAGAAGAATTTATTTGCTGGAACTAAATGAATTGATTAAAATTATTTCTCAGCATTTATTTGATACAAATAAAGATTTATTTGTAGCTAATAAATCTTCTTTGCTCAGCTGTCTAATATTATTATATTTATGAAACCATTAAAAATTCACACGAAATTAAATGGTTATCATGTAATTGCTTGTCGAGCTATTGTTTAAAAGAAAATATTAATTTTAATCATTACGAAACCGTTATTTTTTATTTAAAAATTTTCAATAAATAAAAGTTATTTCATAACATAACCTAACATCTGATTATGCTTACCGTCATTCTACCTTACCATCGAGCCCAATCATAGTATTTATATGAGAAATAAATATTTGTTTGCAGCTAAGAAATTATGTTAGATACAAAGAAATACTTCTATCAGTGTATAACGTCAAATATCGTTATAAAGTATTATATATGGAAATTCGTTTTTTTGGGGATTGAGAGACCCAAAACTCCAAAAGTATTAATTATTATTAACTTTTATATTCTTTTCCATAAATCTGCCACAAAAACCAATAATTTAAAAAAAAAATTCCAAAAGGTTTATTTTTCGATTTTTTGTGCTCAAAAAACCAGGTGACCGTGAAAGTGTATAATTACCGAGAATTTTTTCACTAAATGTAAATCCAAAGATGACAAGCCCACATTTCGAAATTTATAAGTAAAAATATTTCCGTTCAACAGTAAATTTTCGGTTGTCGTAAGTAATTTTTGAGTTATCTTAAGTAATTCTTTTACTTAGAGACCTTTTAAGTCTCAAGTTTACTTAAAAGAACTCAAAATTTACTATCGAATAGAAATATGTTTACTTATAAATTTCGAAACGTGGGCTTGTCATATTTGCACTTACATTTATATATATATATATATATTATGTCAGAAATTTTTTAATATTATTTAAATAAATGCAACGTTATTATTTCAATAAATGGAACAATTAAAAAATTGAGGAATATATTAATGTATAACATCCAATTGACATTAATTAAAATAGACTTAGCGTATAAAGGAATTTGTTCTTTACAGTAAAGTTAAACCGCATAAATATTTTGACTGGAAACGTAAAGTAAATTTTACTGTCCACATCGACCGTCCCTATTTTTACTCGCTTGTCTTATGACTACTACTAGAATTCCAGACGCTCGCCCTTTACTTTTTTCTCGGTGCTGTTATTAATTTTATTTTGAAAAAACTACAATATTTTAATCAACTATTTTACAATGAAAAGGTAGGTACTTGTAAATGTGAAATTAAAATATCAGCGCTCTTCAGTGGTCTGGGTACGACCCGAAAGGTGCCCATAATCAAATTCCCAGTGGAAAGAATGATAAAATTTAGCTTTTTTCCAGTTTTTTGATTCTGCAAAAAAAATGGCGGGACCGATTTTGCTGAAAATCTAATCAGTTCTAAGTTGCTTCATTATACGTCGAATGCAATTGGTCCCACGCCGATAACATTTTTTGTTCTCGAGATAATCGAGTCGAAAAATAATTCCGAACGCACATACGTACATGCACACACACAGACGTCCATTGGAAAACGGTCATACTCCACTCTGGGGACCTTAAAACGTGGAGATATGTCAAAATTCGGGATTCACGAAATCGGACCCATTACTATAACTTTTCACTGGGAAGTTAATGAATGTGATTTAATAATATCTGGTTTATTAAAACTGAGTTTTTTTAATGGAAATTTAGGAGTTTTGAGGTATCTTAGATATAAAATTTTTCAATCAACTTATGCAATATTATATCATAATATTTTGCTTTACAAATGCAAAATATCAATTGACGTAATATCTATGATACTATTTTTAATTGATGGTTGATGACATCTGTTAATATATTTTGTCAGCCATGACCTATATTGGATTCATATTTGTAAATGATTATCTTCAAATTTAAAATTAATTTAATAAAAATATTCCATTATCACTCTAAATAACGTATAGATCTACTTTCGATTAAATTATTTTTCATTACATCGTTTTATGATACATGTATTTTTCTTTTTTAGTAAATTTATATTTTTAGATGGAAAATGTGATCGGCAGAAAGTGCTTGTAGGCACTATCGTTTGGCTATTCTTAACTTGGAGTCACAGAATTTATAAAGCATCACAGAAAAAAAAATAATAGTCGAGGTAGGGAGAGAATGTGAATGAGAGCGATGCAGTCAAGTAGTGGGGTGACGAACTTTTAGTAGAAACAGTCAGTAAACAGAAGCATAATCGGATATACGCTAGTAAAAATGATATACTTTGCGAGAAACTAAGTTTCATTTGTTATAAAAAAAGACAAAAAGTCCTTTTCTGCTAAATTTGATATTCAACACCATTATCTTCGTTAAAATGTTATCGGTAAGCTGTATGTTCTTGGTTTTTTATGAGTTCTTTGATTTTTTAGTTTTACCTCGTGCATGATTTTAGCCTTATTGACATAATTTTTAATACTCTGATGCAGTGAAAAATTAATCTTTTTTTATCATACAGAAAAACGATAATTAAAAGAATTGTTTTTTCGCAATTAATTAAAAAAAAACTATTCAAACTATTTTACAGGCTTGCAAGTTTTAAAGCTCTTACGGTGACACTTCGTTAGTTTCTAAATTTACTTCTATCCTTGAATTTCTCTCTTGTTGTCGTTAAAAAGCGTGTCATCGTTACAGAAAATACTAACGAAATACACACAGCTGTAATAAAAATAACAGTCATAGATGCTGCATAGATTTTTTAAAAGAAATATCTTTGAATGTTTCAATTTCCAATTCAAAATCAATTAACTCGGAAAATATTTATGATTTAGCTAGTAAAAGAAGATCTGTTAAGTTTGAAGACGAGAAAACGTAAATATTTATGCTTACCTAATATATTGCAAGCTCTTTGCACTGTCTGGTGTTCACTTATATGATTTCAGATGGTTAAGTGCTTTGGTAGATCATCATGTAGCATTCCTTGATATTTGAGATAAACTTTTTCTTTTATAAACGATATAATCATCAAATCTGATAAAAAAAAAGTTTCTTCATAAACAATAGTGTCATATTAGAAATAATAATATTGAGATGTGTGAACTTATTTGTGTTTTAAAATTCTATGCATGATTGACATCATTTTACGGTTACCATGCCAATTTGTTGGTATTACAGAATTCTTCTCAATCGTAACGATTGACATAATATCGAAAAATTCGATCGTTGCTTTTTTTTCCTATGTATTATATAGTTTGTTGTCAATTAAAGACTTTTATTTATAATTTTTTTCAAAATTTATCAATACTAAAAAAAAACCTTGGTTAAAAATGGGAGGTTAGATTTTCTATCACTCTCGTTTTTAATTACACCCTTACTAGACTATTATACTTGGAGTATAAGACACTACCGTATCTCTTGATCAAGTAATTACTTTACCTAATGGTTGAATTCTAATCTAATATGATGTAGTTTTCTACATAGATTCTGAAAAAATTTAATTGATAAAATATTTAAAATAATACTCAGATTAAAATAATTTCTAATTATTGTAGAAAATAGTTGAATTTGTAAAATTCATTTTAATAAAAAATAGACAAAGTATTTGAAATTCTTTTTATTCTATGACAGTTTTATTTTTATTAAAGTCTGCTTACTGTAATGTATTTTCAGTAAGATTATAGTGTGAGTACACCAGTAACCTGTGGATGTTGGCTAAAAAATTTTATTATGTTATCCCATACTTTCCCTGATAAATTAAATAACGTTTATTTGTCATAGTCAGTATAAATAATTTTTACAGTAATTGATTTTATTGATTAAGAATTCTTAGAATTATCAACCTACAATGCTGATTCAATTGCTCTATCTCACCATCCTACCATCAGTATTAGGACATGGAAAAAAAGTCACCTTAGGTGAGTCAATTAATGTACAAAATAAAAAAAAAATTTACCTCATTGAATGTAAAGCTGACGATTAATTGATGTTATGCAAACTATTGGCTTAAAAATGCCAATTAAATGAACTTCGTGCATTTCATGTTAAAATAGGTGGCCTATTTCCTGACAATCCGGAAGAGGATCTGATGCAAAAGACATTCGAACTATCGATCAATGCAGTTAATAAAATGAGACATACTTCTGAAGAGCTGTCTCATGTTTATTTTGAACCCGAATCCATGGTTGTTACTGATGATATATATGGAACTTCACAAAGTGGTAAGCCCCTACTGAGAACAAAATTCACTTCATGCAAAAAGTATTTCAAATAGTCGCAATAAAATATTTCTTCGAAGTAATAAATATTTTATTAAAACTTTTTTATTTAATCAAATGAATAAAATTTCATTTGTTTTCATACTAGCTGTAACATTGAAACAAATGAAAAAAGTGTTTTTGACAACAATATTATTGAATCGAATATAATATAATCTTGAAAATACTCATTATTGTGAGTTCATTAATTTACTTGAAAATTTAGTATGTTGTAGAGATGATCATGTTGATTAATTTGATATGCATATATGAGGTGCGGAAATCATATTCTCACAGAGTTTTTTTTACATAGAAAATTAAATCGATACACTAATTTCTTTTCATGCAATTTTTCTCAGAAAAGATTTGTTCGATCAAGATGACATCACTATTTGAAGAATTCATGCAAATCGTTTATAAAATGAGTAAAGTATTTAAATTTTTAAGCCGGCTTTTTTTATTATGCCTTCTAGTGTGTTACTCTCCAATAAGTATATTAATGTTAGACAAAATATTTGTTGTGGCGGTGGAGAAGGGGCGGGGGTGTTAAAAATTTGGAACGAGTGTTCACATTCAGTTTAAATTTTTAACACCCCTCCTTCCTCCTCCTCCACCTCAACCAATATATTGTCTAACATTAAAAGTTCGCGAGATAGCATAATTTTAATTTTCAAAGCTTAAAAACTATGTGAACATATTGTTTCCGCGCCCAACATATATGTATATATATATATATATATTTTTGTTCAGCGAAGAAAACTGTACAACATACTAAATTTTCAAGTAAATCGATGCTGTGAGGGTTAAACGATACAGTTACCAAAAATTCTTCCATTTAACGAAAATTTTTTTTTCCAGTGTATTTAAAAAAAGAAAACAAATAAACGATAATAATAACATTTTTCCAATCCAAAATAAACAGCAAATTAGAGTCTTTTTCAATTGAATGATAATTATATTAAAGTAACTATTTATCAAAAATTATTCTACAATAAACTTATGTTATCATTGAAAAATTACTTGCACTAGATAATATAAAATAAGAAGTTTTCAAAAAATTAATTTTGTTATAGTGGATGATTTTCTCCATGAAAGTAAACATTGGAAAAAATAGCACTAAGTTTCTTAAAAAATTTTGTATTTCGGTATATAAGTATTTTGGAGTGTTGACATTCTGAAATATATCTTTGGTAATAATCATATTTAATTATGTATTCTGATAGACAACAGTTGTATTTTGACATCAATTTGAGCTCAATGCGTTATGATACATTTGGTAAAAATTCTTTAAAATCCATAAAGCTATAGTACTTTCGATTGCAGTGCAAATCTTCTCTATTGGGTGTATTTCTATTGAAAGTACCGTAGTTATGAATTTTGAAGAATTTTTTTTATTAAATTGAAAAAAAAAAATACTTCCAGTTTTCTTTGTATCAATGAAATTTTTTAATTACTTATTTTCAAGTACTTTTTTATCAATTCAAATAAAAACACAATCGAATAAGATAATTGTAAATTTTGTATAAACTTTACGGATATTTTCTAAATAAATGAATTTAGTTTTTGATAAATGTTACGAAAAAATTCAATTTCAGTGTCGAAGTAATCAATATTTCATTGGTTCATTCCTAAGCGTAAAGCTATTTCATTTAATTAAAAACTTTATTCTGTATTTGAATATTTCAGTATTGTGCATTTTTCCTGTAAAAGCATGATTTTCCCATTTAACAAAAAGAAAATTGTTCTTAGTGAAAGTGCCTTACTTTATTCAGACATTCATTACATAATTTACAACATCTATAATAATTGATTTTTTATTGTATCATAATTGCAAATATTTAAAATATTTTCAGTTTGTTTGCTCGTTGAAAAAGGCATTGCTGCAATTTTTGGACCCCAAGATGAAGTAACTTCCGTATACGTACAAAGTATGTGCGATACAATGGATGTACCTTATATAGTTGGTCATTGGAATACTGATCTGAGTAGAATGAAAGCGATTAATTTTTATCCTCATTTTGAAGCAATGTCTATGGTATGCAGCTAAAGTTTCACTTTGTTTCAGATGTATAGCAATTAAAGTGAATACATTCAAAATTTTGTAGTTTTTTTTGCAACTGGTCACGGAATTCAAGTGGGAATCATTTACAATATTGTACGATAGCTCTAGCGGTCTTGTGAGAATGAAAAAATTGCTTCAAAAATGGGATCCTAAAGGCTATCCAGTCACAATTCGTTATTTAGGCGAAGGACCTGATTACAGAGCCACGCTAAAAAGAGTTAAATATTCAGGAGATCACAATATAGTGCTGGAGTGTACACATGAAATACTTGAAGAAGTCCTCACACAGTCTCTGCAAGTTGGATTATTATCAGACAGGCATAAAATCATTATAACATCCATGGTAAGTATCAATTCAAATCACTTACCAATTAACAGCAATAAACATGACCTAGATGGTTGGTTTACTTGGTAGGACTTACAAATGTTGGATCTAAATCCATTTCAACATTCAGGAGTAAACATTACTGGCGTAAGACTCGTTGATCCAGAAGATCCAGATTCTATAGAAATATTTGATAATTATCTCTACGAACTAGGATTAGAGGATTTGTCAAAAATGCACACAGAGTGGGCACTTATATTTGATGCTGTACAATTGTTTGCTAGAGCTTTTAAACCTTTTAAAGAAGCGGTTAAAGTAAATGTTCGATCTTTAGCTTGTGATGGTTATGATACTTGGGAGCATGGAGCATCTCTAGCTAATTTCATACGCAATGTGAGTTATTTTTACAATTGCTCGAATTTTTGAAAATATAATCAATAAATTGAAAAAAAATAGATCAATTACTTCGCTTGTACTTCCCTTGAATGAGAAATAATTTAATCCTGAAAAACATTTTTTTCAGATCGAAATGAAAGGCCTCACTGGCCTCATAAAGTTTGATACAAATGGCTTTCGAAGTGATTTCAAACTTGATATTGTACGGCTTGGAAATGAAGGGCTTAAAACTATAGGCACCTGGAACAGTACGAATAGTATCGAATGGTTTCCTGATCCACCTCCCCCCATTGATGGCGACGAGGATTTAGCGAATAAAACGTTTATTGTATTGATTTCTCTGGTAATATAATCTCTACGTAAATAGTATATATATATATTAGGTGATTTGATTATAATTTTTAAATTATTGGTCTTTTTTTAGTTGGATCCATTTAATATGTTGACTGAGTCTTCAACAATGAAAACAGGCAATGATCGTTATGAAGGATTTACCATAGATATTATACATGAATTGAGCAAGCTCCTTCATTTTAATTATACTTTCGTTGAACAGACCGATAAAAATACTGGAAAATACAATCCAGTTACTGGTAAATGGAATGGAATGATCGGCAAGATTATCGATAAAGTAAGTTGCTATTTTTACTTGCAGATCGAAGCTTGGTGTGTTAAAGTGTGTAATACAACATCTGTCGATAAGTTATCAAGAATAACGTATACAAGTTAGTGTCTACTATAGTCCAGTAACGGTGCAATTAAAAATAGGGGTATTAGCGAATTTAACCTTCCATTTTAAACCGAGGTTATTTTCGAGTAAAATTGCACGAGAATTCTGAAAAAACTATTCGTCGGAAAAAAAAAATGTACGCGTCATTGAGTTTTTTTGTTATGAACAATTTTTGCCTGCTTGAGCCTTCACATTTTCATTAATAACTTTGCAGTTATGCAGAAATCGACGATACTTAATAGAAAATTTTTCGATTTCTTAGAATAAGATTAACAAAATCTGAAAAAAATTTCAAATGAAAGTCTTTAATTGACGATAAATAATTCGAGACATATGAAAAAAAGAAAAACGATGAAATTTTTCGATCGTTTTGAGACCGATTGGGAAGAATTCTGTAATACCGACATATTGGCGTGATAACTGTAAAATAGTTCGCACGATCTTTTTCATTTTTTGAAATAGAATATCTCTAAAAATAGGTGGTAAAAAAGTAAAGTGAGGTGACAGAAATCTTCGTTAGACGGTAAAGAACAAAAAATTTCCTATTAAGTATCGTCGATTTCTGCATAACTGCAAAGTTATTAATGAAAATGTGAGGGCTCGAGCAAGCAAAAATTGTTCATAACAAAAAAACTCAATGACGCGTACATTTTTTTTTTCCGACAAATAGTTTTTTCAGAATTCTCGTGCAATTTTACTCGAAAATAACCTCGGTTTAAAATGGAAGGTTAAATTCGCTAATAAAATTGCACCGTTACTGGACTACGAGAAATTTTTTAGAAATAGCAACATTCGTGAATCGTGATTTCTGTACAATAAAAATATTTTATTTGTTCGTATAGACAGCATCCTTTAATAATTATAAAAAAACGTTCATTAAAGTAATTTTCAATTATCAGGAGGCAGATCTTGCCATAACAGACTTGACGATAACATCTGACAGAGAGAAAGTAATCGACTTCACACATCCATTTATGCATTTGGGTAAGTTAATGGAATTTTTATGCAAATATTTATAAAGTGAACTGTTGGTAGAAAAAAAAACAAGCAATTAAAAATCATTGCAAGTTCAAAATTAACATTTATCTGATAAAATTCATTTCCCTTAATTGAGACGTTTGACTTCTTAAAGTTTATATTAAATTTTTTACAATTAATAATTAATCCTTAGAGTAGAAAAAAAGTTGATTAACGGTTTCTATTATTTTCAGGAATCAGTATTCTTTATAAAAAACCTTCCAAAGCTGCACCAAGTCTATTTCAATTCTTGGCTCCTCTTTCAAATGAAGTATGGGTTTATTTGTTGGCAGCGCATATTCTTGCAACATTATTATTATATTTCATAGCAAGAATAAATCCGAATGAATGGAGTAATCCTTATCCTTGCATTGAAGAACCAGAAGCGCTGGAAAATCAATTTTCATTGACTAATTCATTTTGGTTTTGTATTGGAAGTTTTCTACAACAGGGTTCAGATTGCGCACCAATGTTAGTATTTATTGCCAATACTTTATATTTAATTTAATGACTATTTTTAACTTTCCATTAGAAAGTTATGGTAAAGAAATTAATTTTTAGAATTCGTAATTTCATAATATTTTTATGTTTTGAGATATTTTAAAGCATACTAGAAGGTTAAGAATGGATGTTTATACGTACAAGGAGGAAAAGTAACGCGCATAAAAAGTTATTTTTATTAAATTCAATCGATATTGGTATGAAATTCGAATTTTCATCCTATCTTCAAATTTCAAGATATTTGCAAGCATACTGACTGATTTGTTGAATGATGTGTGCGTGTGTGTACATACATACGTATGTATTTGTCAGAATACTCAATTTTTTATATAAAAAAATATGCCGTAGCTGGACTTTTTGCCTGGGGATTAGTTTGTTTAATTCAGCGCATTCTTTTCTATATAATGCGCCTGGTCTCGACTTGCGTGACGAAATTTTGTATTAACCCTATTTTCCACTGCACATTGACCGGACTAATAACAGATAAATAAAAAAATGAACTGTTTAAAGTACTTTTAAGCAGAAGAATAACAATTCCATTCAAAAATGAGGTCGTTACTGACTAGACATGATTGCTCACAACCAAATATAAATTTTAACAGTTACACATTGTTCATAACTATATGAATTTGATATAAACAATTAAAAATAGTTTTAATTTATTGAATCATGATTACTATGATCATATTCGATAAATATTAATAGAATATTAAAAATAACTTCATGTGATTAAACAATTGTATATTGTTTATAACAACAGTAATTTTTTATAAACAAAAACATGAAAAGATGACAAAATTACGGATTTCAATTAATGAGAAATTTGTTATCAGGGCACAAAGTAAGCCCAGACCCATTTTCAATAATTATTTTAACTCAACTAGTCATTAAATAGCATCATTAATTTTAGTGGAACATCAACCAGAATGCTGGCTACAACTTGGTATTTCTTTTGTATGATTATGACGTCTTCATACACTGCTAACTTGGCTGCTTTTCTCACGGTAGAAACTATCATCAGACCGATAAAATCTGCTGAGGATCTGGCGAATTGGAATGGTGTAATAAAATACGGTGCTAAAAGAGATGGAGCAACTTATAACTTTTTTAAGGTAGGGTACACATTTATAATTATGAATAAAAAATATTTATAGAAGAGAAGAAAATGGATGATAAATACAGCATTCATGGTCATTTATATGCAAGTATTTTCGTTCATCATAATTTGTTTACATGTTTTTTGTGGTAGCAAAAATACATTACAATAGTGAATCTGTTACCGACATAACTTCTTCAGTTAATACCCAGATAGTTGATTCTAGTTCACTTAATTCTGATTAGTTATGCTTAAAAATAAATAAATTATTGGAACATGCTAATAACAATAATATTGTTTAGGAAATTCTTGAATTTAATGCCCATAAACAATATACATAAATATGGACAAATTAGTTATGTAGACTTATACACAGAATTTAGACTGATAAAATTTTGTGCATAAATATTCAACGATATATGATTATATATCATCGTTAAAAAAATCCTAAATTGGATCTTACATTTAATTGTATATGGTCATAAATATTTATATATAACCATAAAAGTATATTTTTGAAAAATATTACAGTACCCAATTTGATGAAAAAAGAAATTTAAGTTTTTATGGTTGTTGATTGAAAGACAAATATATAAAAATTCAGTAGATGCAGAAAATTTTGTTATACTTAAATCGCGCTGAATATTGTAGTATTATTTTCTTAGGAGATACTATTTTTGCAAAGTTACCCTGTAGATAAACAAGTAAGCATACGAGTAGATTTTTTGTCAATAATTAAATTCCATTAATAATTGGCACAAAAAAATTTCATGTTACAATATTTTGGTCACGTCTCTGTACTAAAACAGTTTTTTTTTTAGTTAAGGCATAATCGTCTTCTACTCGACAAAGGTGCGGAGAACTCGCAGAGTTTATTTAGATGGATAATAAAGGAAATAGGTATTCAGTGCTGACAAACCACAATGATGCAACAAATGAAGAAGAGCGTTGTTCCCTTTTTAGTATAGACAATCTTTATTACTCTTTACTCACTTTATTTGAGTAGAAAAATGTTTTACAAGAGTTGAATAGATAAATAGCAGAAGGTTGAAAAATTAATTTACTATTTTTCTTAACTCAGAAATATTTTTCGCTGACTTGAAAATTAATTTATTTAGTTTTGGGTTGATAAGGAATTATTTTTTTTCACGATTAAATTCTAAATCAGAATTATGTTAATCTTGAATAATTCTATAAAAATTATCTTGAACCAAGAAAATTCTTTGAGACTTTGAGAAGAGTTCCTTGTCAAAAATTTAGAACAATTCTTCGTTTACAATTATAGCGGAGTACAGGTAAAATTTGCAACAAACTCGGCAAAAACTTCAGAAAAGACTGTAGCTCCTAAGAAAAATCTAGATTATTTGTCCGAGTTCTCTGGAAAGTTGTCAGTGGCTGTTTTATGGTCCTTCTGCCTATCAGGTCCCATGTAAAAAAAAATGTTTCTCCGGAATTCCAAAAAAGTTCCGTTCCAAAAATGTTCCACTAGTAAGATGCAGAAGAATTCTTTCGGAATTCCGTAAGGACAGCAGAAGAATTTTCTAAGAATTCCCAAAAAATTCATTTTTTTCATTCGAGCATTTCAAAATTAATTTAATGTAATTTGATCACTAAGAAAAATGTTTAACGAAGAAGAATATATTTATAATTTTCATAATCAGTGTTATTAATGGATACAGCAAGAAAATATTTTTATAATCAGACAATTCAATTAATACATGAATGGTTCTGTAAAATCATAGAATTTATTATATCTTTTTTAAAATTTTCAATCATTTAATATTATTATTAGTATAAACTTATTCATAGTGTCATATGTGTCAATTTGGTAATTTAGGTTGTAGAAATTAAATTATTATAAATATTGTTAAAATAAATTTATGTGAATTATTAATAGAGTTGAATATATTTATTTCTCTCGATGACCAAATTACATCAAATTAATTTTGAAATGTTGAATAAAAAAAATTTTTTTTTGCATTTTTTTGGAATTCTCATAAAATTCTTCCGGTGTTCCTACGGAATTCCAAAAAAATTCCTTTGCATCTTACCAGCGGAACATTTTCGGAACGGAACTATTTTGGAATTCCGTAGGAATTTTTTTTACGTGGAGTGCATTTGAATATTCTAGTTTTCCTTGATCACGAGTAGAGCACTATATGCAGTCTTTGTGAGCTGCCCTCACGCGCATTTGCCCTTTATTCAGTTACCTGTACACCTCATGCGCAAGCGGTTTCTTTCAGTGCTTTCAGGTCTGCCTTCAATATTGATTTTTTTGTACTTGCACTTCCTTAGCACATTTTCTTTTTATACTAAAAATTCGTCTTGACTTTTAGATCTTCTAATTTCATGTTATCCTGTTTTCTTACGTACTTTCCTGCTTTATTAACTTCCCATTAGGAAGTTATTAAAGTTGGGTCGATTGGTGAAATTTGAATTTTCATCATATCTCCACGTTTCATGATATTTGCAAGCATACTGACCAATTTTTAGAACGATGTGTGTGTGTACGTACGTACGTATGTATGTATGTATGGACGTCAGCATTTTTTTCGTTTTCCATATCTCTAGAACGGATTGAGATATCGACTTCAACCAAAATTAATTCGAAAGATATTATCGAAAAGAAGATCTGAGTGAAATTTGAACGAATTCAGTCAAACCGTTTTTTTTTATAATAAAATAACTCATGAAAAAATAAAAAGATTAGCTATTCAAAATACTTTAAAGTCAAACAATAACAATTCCATTTGAAAATTGAGTCGATACTGACTAGACATTATTGTTCACAACCAAATATAACTTTCACCAATTACTAGGGCCAGGAATTTCGCTGCCCTGATTTCTTAGAATAAGATTAACAAAATCTGGAAAAAAATTTCAAATGAAAGTCTTTCATTGACGATAAATAATATATATAATATATATGAAAAAAAGAAAAACGATTAAATTTGTCGATATTATGCTAAGAAATCGTTTTGAGATCGATTGGTAAAAAATCGTTTATAACAAAAAAACTCAATGACGCGTACATTTTTTTTTTGCCTGCGAATAGTTTTGTCTATAACCTCGGTTTAAAATGGGAGGTTGAATTCGCTAATAAAATTCCACTGTTACTGGACTAAATATTTTTATTAAATTATTATTGATTAAAATAAAAATTATCTGATGATCTTCTTTTTTTTCAGTGCAGCGAAATTCCTGGCCCTAGTAATTGGTGAAAGTTATATTTGGTTGTGAACAATAATGTCTAGTCAGTATCGACTCTGAACAAGGCGATTTTATTAAAAAAAAAAAAACATAATTTGTAGAAGTTATTGAAAACAATTTTTACCAGTGCCAAATAAGAATGCGTAGCAAATATTAACATATTTATTAGAAAGAACGAGACCTCATCAGATATAAATTGTAAGTGATAGACACTACATCTAAGCTGAGTTTTGACGTTTCCGACAAGCCGAAATAATTAGCTTAGTAAAAGTGTCACATGTCGAAAAGTAGCAAAGAAAAATTAGTTGCAAATATTGGTAAAAAAATTAGACTACGTTTAATGTTTAATTAGACTTAGCAAGCATAAACTTTGCTGATTCTACATGACACATTTGCTTCTATGTTACGTTTATAGGTGACAAAAAGGCTGATATACATCGTTTACGCCTAATATTAAAGGACGAGAAGTTGCAACAAAAAATAAGTTGCAAATATTGGTCAAAAAAGTAGACTTCTTTTGATAATTTGATTCAGTAACCATAAACTTTTGACACCTGAAAACATAACATAGGAGCCAGCAAAACATTTGGATTTGTCAAAGTTTATGTCTACTGAGAAGAATTATGTATTGAAAGTAGTAAACTTATTTGACCAATATTTGCCACTTCTCGTCCATTAATATTAGGTGTAAATAAGGTATATCAGCATCTAAAAACATAACATAGAAGCCAGTAAAACATTTGGAATCATCAATGTTTATGCTTGCTGATTCAAATAATATATTAAAAGTAGTCTACTCTATTAGTAAAAGTATCGGAAGAAGTACTGGTAAAAGTACTGGAATAAGTATCGTAGAATGTACTAGATGCAGATTCATTGTTGATTCGATTTTCCGGTTATGTATGTATAGTTTTAATGACAGTAAGATAAAAGAATTTTTTTTGCTTTTTTCTTTATTGGAAATTTATTTAGTTGTATTTTAATTTATTAAATTTTCTCCTTATTTGAATTAATTTATGTTTTTAGTGTTTACGACGCAATTGATATTTTTAGTTGTTCATTGAATGAAACGTAACTTTCATACATTCTTTATTTGGGTATATATATATTGTTTGTAACACTACGAATTTGTTATACACAATTAAAAATTATATTTATTGATTAAGTAATGTGTATACCACATGGATTTGGATGTTTTCAACAAACATTGATTGTAACTATTCAAATTTGTTATAAACAATTACTAATGGAAAGTTCGTCATGTTAGCACAGACAAAGTGTGCTCAGACCTATTTTTTTATTTATTTATTATTACAAAAATGTTTACATAAAAAAAAATTTATGTTCACCGATCTATAACAATTTAACAATTTGAATTCTTATAACCTACAAAAAAAAATGATGTATAAAGTACAACAAATGAACTGAAATCAATAATAATTTGAATTAATTAATAGTCAATAATTATAAACGCACATTTAATTTCTAATAGTTTCTTTTCATTCGTCATTGATTTTGAGTTGCACAAAACTTTTTTTTTATCCTTGCATATTACTCGGTTCTTTGGTTTAATGCTAACTAAAGTTAATAAAAAACGTTTCCACGTTGAATTATACTTAACTCACTATAAATTTATATAATAATTTTTTTCCGCATGTGTACCGTTTCCTTGATTGCACGTTAATTGAATTTAAACGGACAATATTCACTCAGTCTTAAATTGTCATTAAAAAAAAAACAAATCATTTGAACTAAGGAGAATTATTGAAAAAAAAGTAAAATTTTTTTTGTGCTAATTATTAATGAAATTTATTTATTTACAAAAAATCGTTCCATCTATAATTAATCGTTTAAACCAGAATTCAAAACTTTCCAATTCAAAAAAATTTTATTTTTCAGAATGTGGAAAACTTGGAACAATTAAAAATTTCTTTTTTTTTACAAAAAAATTACCAAAAAGTCCCAAACTTGTACTGCTCCGTTTCAGTGGTGGCATGCCTCTGAAATGAATTTGTTTTAACAGGTGCCTTGACTTTATCCTTTTAGCCGATACCTAGCTCTTCCTGACGTAATGTACGTTTCGAAATTGAACATTTTCGCTACTTAACGAATTAGATGATGACCCATGTATATGAAAAAAATCCACACCAATTTTTATAAATTATTGAAACAAAGTAAATTTTCAACCCAATACAACTTGACTGCGCATCAAAAAAAAATTTCACTCAATAATTTAGCCAAAGATTGATTAAGGTTATTTCCTCTAAATAAAACTGATTGACTAGTTACTGCATGGAACACAGGACATAGAGTATTAAAGAGAAATTTAACATTACTCCTCACGACTTTCGATAAGTATTTTCTTTCTGTTAAAAAAGGGGTTAGTCAATAACATAAAAAGGAGTAAAGTATTCATTAACAAACAAAAAATACAATAATACACAGAGAAAAAAATCCATGAAATTTTATTAAGGAACCCTTTAATTTTTACTGCGGTCCGTAGAAGTGAAGTGAGTGAATACAATAATTACTTTTTTTTTATTCACTCACTAAACTTCTGAGAAGTCCAGTAAAAATTAAAGGGTTTCCCAGTAAAATTTTATGGATTTTTTTCTCCGTGTAGTGTTAGCCTCACACTATCCTCAACTGAAGTGTATTAATGTGAAAAATTCTTACAATTAGATAGGATTCCCTCGACTCATCCCTTCTACCTTGACATATTTACTCAGTTGTGCTATTGCACACCCATATATTAATATTTCTTTTTTAATGATTTATTAAATTTGGTGAGATTTCCATTTATATTCATTGGTCAATGACAAAAGTAGCCAAATGAATTCATTCTACGTTGATTTTGTATAATCAATAAGTCTCAAAATAATATGACACATCGTTATATATAATTATGTATTATTGTATAAGGTTTCTTCAAAATTTTATTTATAACCATACATAAAAGCACATAATTACATCGGAGAACGAAAGATAAAGTGGAGTGCAGGGACAAAATGAAATACTTGAGACAAATGAAATTATTTTTCATCTTAATTATCTTAAGAACAGAAAATGATATCAATGCATAATTCCTTAACTTAGAACTGATGAAGTTTTCAGCAAGATCAGTCCATTTATTTTTTGTGCAGAATTAAAAAAAAACTGTTCTTTTGAATATGATTATGAGCAAGATTATAATAACTTAGATTATAGTCAGACTTTTTTTTAATAATACATCTGATATTAATACTTATCATAATAATGTTGATGGACAGCTCCATTAGAATCGAAATAATAATACATTAGGCATCCAAGGGCCTAAATGAGTTATTATAGCCTCGGACTGATAGCGTCAATCAAGACGTGTAGTGTATGCATACAAGCCGAAGGTGAGCACGTCTTGCGCTAACGACATCTATCTGAGGTGATGATAGCTCATTTGGGTTTCGTGATATATACAATGTTTTATATACTAAAGGTTAAATATAAGTGTGTAGGCTAAAGACCTTCGGGCGATGGCCGGCTGCATACCTCTGGTTGCAGTCATCACAAAAAAATCATCATTATTATAAGTGTTTAATTGTTATGGCTCTTGAGTGGAGCTTTAAAGGGTCGATTAAAGACAGTGGAAAGAACTCCTGATAAGTTGTCATTTATAATTCTATTGGAATCACACTTATATCATCCGTCTATAACTGGCCGTTTAAACACCGCTCAACAGGCATAGTAAGTGAGCACTTATATAGTGTAAAGCATGTAAATTTCATAATTATAGAAAATTACGTTTTTATTAACAATTACTTGAATGTCAAATGGAATGAGGTTAAAACTGGGAAAATTATAAAATAAAATTTGCATTAATTTAGAATAAAATTAAAAAATTTTCGTTCTACGGAAGTGTTGATTTGTTGTGTATTTTAACTTCAATTAGGATTTGCTCATCTCAAGTTAAACTTTAAAAAAAAATATGAAGATAAAAAAAAAGTTGTTATATTTTGACTCAAAAAGATCAAATGTTCATGATGGTACATAAGAGATTTATAATTATGCATTAAATTTAAAACAAAGACTTTGATCATAGTTGTAGTTTATTCCTATCAAAATTCCATGTTCCAAACCATTTTACAAAAATAGCTCACTTTTAAAACTGCTTATTTCAATCAAGAGAATTCTTTTCTTGAAAAAATAGTTCAATGGAAATGGTCTTATGGCTTTGAATATCTGAATCAATTATCCGGGTACTCGAGTTGTTTTTGGATCTATAAAATCGACTTTATCTCAAAGATAATTAATAAAAACCAAGATTGCATTAAATAAAGATTTTTGGTATTTTTACATTAAAAGCTCTTGCCAATCATTTATCAGCTAATTGTGTTTCATTTTTTTTTGTTTTGGTTGTGTGCTGATAACGTTATTACATCTTTAACTTTATATCAAAAATGTTTGTGTTGCATTTATTTTTGTGTGCGATCGATTTGGCGTGTTTATTCTAATATACACTTTGAAAGAATTATGCAACTCTCAAGGGTTCCAATTATTCAACCTATGCCAAAATGTTTAAATACATGGAGGATAATGCCAAGGACGTATTAACGGATAGTAATGATGAAGGAGCAGAAAGAGTATTGAAAGAAAATTATGCATTTCTTATGGAATCCAGTTCAATTGAATATCTTGCTCAGAGACAATGCAATTTATCACAAGTTGGTGGTCTTCTAGATAATAAAGGATTTGGAATTGCTATGAGGAAACGTAAGTTTTAAATAGAATGTTGTAATTCATTTTCACGTTTCATATACTTGAATTGAAAAATTCGTAAATGTATATAATGTTTTATTTGCTTATGCCGATTTATTTTTATAGATTTTCCTTACCGGAATAAATTGAACACAGCTGTATTACATTTACAAGAAAGCGGTGTTTTGTCCGAATTAAAAAAAAAATGGTGGAATGAAAAACGTGGTGGTGGTAGATGTCGTGTAAGTTATTTCCTTTATTCTCAAACTAGCAGATTTCCGCAACTTCGTCCACAAATAAGCCAATTCCAGAAACCTATTGCTGTGTGATAGGATTAGTAAAGGAATAATATATGCGTAAATGTTAATAATAAAAGGAAATAATGCGAATTCCATCGTTAGACTCAATTTCTGTGCCTTTCCCACAAATTAAATGGTATAAATAAAAGAAGACGATTTGTATTTAGTTTAGACAATGAGCAACTTTGTTGTAGTAGAGGAAACAATTTCCTGTTAAATGGACTCGAACACATTGCATAGATCTTATTTTCGATTGTTTAGAACGAATTTCATAATTATTAAGGAAAGGAATAGGTTCTTATTCGTGAGACATGGAATTCTTATTGGTATTTTAGCTTTAGAATTTACGAAATATTTGCTATTACCATTAATGGTCTATTGAATTTACTATGTGACATTTTCTCAAGTCATTTATAGGCACATCAATACTTTTCATTTTATTCAGAATTTGTTTAAGAAATATTCAATTCCTCGCTATTCAAATTCCTTTTAATAGATGAAAAGTTAATATGATAATGGTTACTATGGAAACGGAAAACATAATAATGGTTACTATAGCTCCCATTTCTACACGCAGAAAAATGAAAAGTAAATTCTTTCTCCTAGTTGCTATAAAAATTCTAATCGTCAAGCAACGTCAACAACTTACAAAACTGTTGTTAGTCTATTAATCAGTAGATGGCAACATACAAATATTTTACACTTCTCCCGATCTTCTAAAAATTGGGCGCCAATCACCAGGACTATCACGTGCGCTGTGTATTCGTGATAGACATTTCTCATGACCTCCATGAGCTCTCTGTAGCGTTCCTGTTTACTCCCTTCTTTTGCACGTATATTCGTCTCAGTCGGGGCTGAGAACTCAACATAATATACGTGCTTGGTGGTATGGTCGAAAAGAGTAATATCCGGCTTATTGTGTTTAATGCGTTGAAGCGTAGAGAGCGGGTAATTCCAAAGAATTTTTGCTCTCCCGTTCTCAACGACTGATTCAATTTCACCGGGTACATAGGGCAGCACTGGTGTCTCGTCTATTCTATAAGAGTGCCGAAGGTGGTAATACAGCACTCTTAGTGCAGCGTTATGCCAGTGAATGTAGGCTGAGCGCGCTAATATCGGACAAGCCGATAACACATGAAATAGCGTCTCATCTACATCACCGTGGCAAACTCTTGTGTCCTCGAGTTGCTCGTGCATAACATCACGCCAATAGGCGAGGGTAGAAAATACACCATCTTGGCAGGCCATAATGAATCCTTCGGTCTCAGAGAACAAGCCAGCTGACTTAAGGTATTGAAAAGTCAGCTGGTGTGATAAGTCCTGTGTTTCGAGATGACGATAAAACACACCATGTAGGGACTTTGCCACATCTTCGTCGAGCCGTTTTAACTGCTCGGTCTTTTTTATATCGACCTTTCGTAGGAGTAGATAATACTACTCGAGGAAGTAAAATTTATCGAATTCGAAGTAAAAAATACTGAAAATGATTTATCATGATTAAGGAGTATGATTTACTAATATGTGGAGTAATATTTACTTCTCAAGTAGTAGGTCTTACTAAAAACGACGTACGAAGTACTAGAAAAATTTTACTTCCTCCAAAGAATAAAAAATACTTTTCCATTTTTTTCCGTGTATAGCAACAGTTACCATAGCAATGATTACTATGGCAACTGTAACGATACCAACAGGTTAGTTTTAGATGGTATTGATATATTACTAATAATTAGCGAAAAAAAATTCTGGATGAGATTTGGTCAAAATCCGTTCTTAGCGGCTTAAATATTGGTAAAAATCGGAATGTTTTTAATTTAGCGGTATTCTAATCAGACGGTAAATCGGTAACAATTAACGGTAATAGTTCGAGAACGGTCGGTAAATTAGAAATAATTATTATCCATATTATTTAAACAAATGGTATTGAAACAAACATGGTGGATCAAAATATTAACGGTAAACAACACAACATATTCAGATAGTTTAGATCACGGTGACTTCAACATACAGTAGTTTTAAGAGCAATTTTGCGGACGAAATTACAGCAATAAGCTAGTACTTTCATGTGTCTATATTTTTTGTTTAAATTACCTTAAACTAGAAAATAAAATTAACCTCTGAAGATTTTTATTCAAGATTTCATTTATTTCTAGGAGGACTCTGGAGGTACAAGTGCAGCTGCAGAATTAAGTTTGGATCACGTTGGTGGTGTTTTCTTGGTCTTGGTTGTAGGAGTAGGAATATCTTGTCTTTATACCATTTGGGAAATGATGTGGGTAATCGGATGCACTTCTTATAAGGAAGGAATACCATTTAAAGAAGCTTTAACAACAGAACTTCAGTTTATAATAAGATGTAGAGGATCAACAAGGCGAGCAAGACGACGAAAATCATCATCGAATAGTACGAGCAAAAGTGAAAAAGATGATTCACCACCTTACGGTTTTGTGCCTGCAGTTATAACGATCGCTCATGAGGAAGATCAGACATGAACTGTCATGGCATCTTTATAGAGATTGTTTGAATCTTCGCCTGGAATACTCTGCAATATTCATACAAAGATCGCTCAAAGGCTCTCGTTTTTTTGTGGCATGCAAAGTGCTATTTGATGTGCTTAGAGTGACTCCCCGATCATAAAACAGTATTAACAGCTTGTTCACGAACATAACATGGCGTAAACAATTTTTGATATTAATGCGATCTCAAATTGCTGTTCAACCAATAGCGGCATTTCTTTTATGTATCGAAGATACATATATCATTTTATCTGCAAATGCCTTTAGGTGCAAAAATAGTAAAATATTTATCAACATAGCACAATTAACATTCATGGTTTACGCACTATTCCTACATAAACTTGTACGCAAATGATAGATATTGGTTAAGTTTCAACTATCTTTTTGTTTATGCAAATCTGATCATGATGAAATACACCTGTAACTTCTGAGCATATGTTTATGTCAAATGGCACTGAGTTGTCTGAAATTGAACTATTTAGTCGTGCAAGAACTAAAAATTAAATGGGTGGCTCGCTCTTTATTTTAATAGTAAAAAAAAAAAAAATAATTTGTGTTACTATTCTTTTATTCTTTTGTTCATTCGTAAGGAATTCAAATCGAAAATCTGTTGATAATTATTTTTATGATTTAATTTTTTTTTTTTTGGTATTCACTAAATCATTCAAACATAATTAAAAAAGAAGGAGAGAAAAATAGTAACCAGATACAAATTTTACTTTCACTGGATGACCATGACAAATATACCAGAAATCTGATTCTGCTATTATTTCCTAATTACATGAAACATTTTTTGAGAAAAAAATGTTACATTGGTAATTTTTAAGTGGTTATTGAATTATTTTTATGAAGCTATTCTGAATATTGATCATGTCTTTTCGGATTTATCATCCGTAGTATGAGTTAGATACCGAAGAATACGAGAAAAAAACCATGTGGTTCATTGGTATTCACAATACTTATTCTACAAAAGAAGAAAAACTCGTTTTGATTTACGTTTCTTGTATTGTCTTAAATTATGGTTAATAGCTCAATAAATTGATAATTCATGAACCCCCAAAAAAAAGTTTTATTTTAATTACATTAAGAAATACAGTCATCTAAAATCAGACTATGACTACAGAATAAATTTCGTTGGTAGCGCCAAAGCCATGGATACTTCTGCTGCTTCTCGCATGGTTTCTAACAGTGGATTTTTTAAAGGAATGAATATTGAAGTAACAATATTGATTGGAGACGATGGTAACTCGACAACAGCTGCAGTTCGAACAGTCAGCAAAAATCAAGTCATCAAATATTCCGGCCATACTAGTTGAGGGTTTTCTAAAAATCGAGAGAATTATATCCGGGAAAAAATTTTTTATATGTAATTGTAAGATCCGACGAGCCGGCCGATCGAAATTATATGAAATGTCTCGTTCGAAGATGATCATAGAATGTAGTAGCATGTTTATGCTCGAAATATCACAAATTTAGAATATTAAATTCAAATTCAAAGTTGAATTTACCCATTGTGCCATCTACCGAGTACTGTTATGTTGCAGGTCCCACAATCCATTTCTCTTCATATTTTTAGAGCCCACACATGAAAAATAATCAAAAGGCATTTATTCCGTGAAGATAATCATGGGTAGAAACGGTGTTTATGGGTACATGAAGGGAGGGATATAATCATCTTCGAACGAGACATTTCATATAATTTCGATCAAACGAGCCGGCCGAAGGCCTTTAGACTTAATGCCAGAAATTTCTGTCGTTCTAATCGTTTACGATACTATATATATAATTCCATTATATTTTTTTTCTTTTTCTCCGTTAATTCTAATGATAGTTCTTCGGAATTAATGACAAAGCCCAGGTATTTACATTTAGTGGATGGTATAAGTTTACTTTTTGAGTAATTTATAACAAAGCCTAACTTTTCTAATTGCTCTTTTACTATTATAACATTTTGCCTACACAGCTCATATGTTTGCCCCATAATTAATAAATCATCGAGATAAACAACTAATACAACTCCCTGACTTTTTAGCACATTAACTACTGGCTTTATAATTTTTGTGAAAACAAATGGACTTGTGCTTAGCCCGAATGGCAAACAGTTGAATTGATAAAGTTTTTCTAGAAATTTAAACCTTAACAATTTTTTAGACTCTTCGTGAATTGGAAAAAGATGATAAGCATCTTTTAAATCCACAGAACACATGTAAACCCCTTGTGTTACCAACTGTTTAACTACTTTGATATCTTCCATTTTAAAATGGTGAGGCTCAAAAAATTCATTGAATTTTTTGAGATTAAAAATGAAACTGTCACTGCCATCGGGTTTTGGAACAAGAAAAAATGATGAAACGAATTGTCCAGCCACTTCGTCGCACTTTTCAATAGCCTTTTTTATATATAATTTATTTACTTCGAGCTTTAATTTTTCTAACCCTTCCGTACTCGTTTTATGTTCTACAAAACTATTGTTTTGACATGGAGAGGAAATAACAGGAATTCTGATATCCTTTAAGACAATTCAACACAAATTCATCACCAGTAATTGCTTCCTAATTTTTTACAAAATGTTTTAATCGTCCTGCAATTACCTTTTCCCCTACTTTTTCTGATATGGTTGACTCCTCCTCTTGTTGTATGACTTCGACGAACTGCTGTTGTTCTGATGCGTCTTGTTCCTGAATTTTATCATCGGCTTCCTTGAGTAACTGCCCACCTGTCTGTTCTTTACAGGTGGGCGATTCACGTTTCCCTGATAATTGCTAACATTTGATGATTTAGCCTTATCAAATGACTTTATTCCTGAGCAAGCTTAGCCATACAGTAATGTGTAATTTTATACTCATTACAATATGCTGCAGTTCTAATTGAACTTCATATTGTTAACAAAGACCTCATTGATATATTTTTAATGTATATACATATATACATACGTATATATTCTTGGGAAAATATGTGTGTGTGCCCCTCACTAACTGTGTTACCTCAGACTTAACCATTTTAATTAAACTTTGTAAGGTGAGGCTTGTCAGAAATCGAATGGATTTACTGACTACTTGGTTGCTCGAATAGATAACGCAAGTTTAATTCTTCTAACAAAATGCTTACTGTCCATAAATTTTTCCAACATGGCGACGAGGTTAGCTATTTGACTTTCAATCATCTGAAATCTCTTATCATGATGTTCGTCATGTCTCCGACGCTTACGTTCCCTCGACGATGATCTAGACGGTCTCTTCTTACTTGAATGCGGCATCTCCGTCATTTATTCTAATTTCTGGCTGCAAAAATACTCTGTTCGTGTGATACGTCGTGCACAAAAATACAATATGAAAAGAAATGGATTGTGGGCCCTACAACATAACAGTAATCGGTAGATGATGCAATGGGTAAATCCAAGTTTAAATTTGGATTTAATACTCTGAATTTTTTAATATTTTGAGCATGAACATGCTACTACATTATATGATCATTGAGAACGAAACATCTAATATAATTGTATATGAGACTTTCATATATGTTTATGTGAGTCATATATAATAATATATAATCCATATATAAAAGTCTTATAATCGATATATTCCCATATTTAGTAATGTTAATGAAATGTGTATAATTATTCAAAGTCATATAAAATTATATACACGCAAAGAAATGTATCGTAAAAATTACCCTAAATTTTATGGTAATTTAGTGACACTGCAGGGTGAGGGTTACAATTACTATACACATTGTAAAAATTATTAACTGTATTGACGATTATGTTAGAAATTTGGAACAAATACGGGTTTTCTCAATTTAAATCCGTCTGAGTGGTGTCAAAATGAAGATTACCAAAAAGGTTTGCTATTGGTACGAAGTTTGGAAGTTGTTAATGATATTGCTGGGCGTGCAGTGAAACTAATTTAAGAATATCATTGTATACTAAGCAAGGATCCAGAGCAGCAACAATTTATAGTTCAATTTTTATCAGAATATAAGCAATATTATGCTGATACTCGAAAATTTGTAATAGTGGAAAATATGAAAAAAGATTAAGGCTAAGTATCTGAACGGTATAATATTTCATCTGTCCTTTCATTTTATTATCTTGAAAATTAAGGAACTATATGTTTTGTAACTCACTTCAGATTTTTGTAAGTACAGATAATTTTAAATCGAAACTGTTTTTAAAATATTTTAGCTAACTTTTCAATAACAATAATAGAAATATTTTTTATTCGTAATTATGAATGATATAGATCTTTTCCATAAATGTTTTAGCTGTATTAACAAATGTTGCACCTCTTTCATGGGATTTGATATTTTGGATATCAATATTTTCCTTGACGTTGTTTTTTTTATTAGCCTTAAAAAAATAAAAAAAAAAAAACATACAAACATTTTATATAAACACGTTGCATCTGATTTTTTTACTAAAATAAACTATTATGAAAATCTATCGTCCACTCATCTTAAGAATGGATCGAGATATCAACTTCAGCCAAAATTAATTCGAAAGATATTATTATAAAGAAGAACTGAAAGGAGTTTTAACAAATTCGATCGAGCCGTTTTTTTGTTAAAACAGTAACTAATGAAAAAATAAAAACATTAGCTATTCGAAATACTTATAAACCAAACAATAATATTTTCATTTAAAAGTTGATATTGACTAGACATTATTGTCCGCAACCAAATATTATTTGCAAAAATGACGCATCATTTATAGCAATACGAATTTGTCATAAACGATTAATAATGGAAAATTCGTCATGTAAGTACAGACAAAGTGTGCTCAGACCTATTTTTCACTTTACTTATTAATATGCAATGTCAAACTCTTTATTTTAATACAGAATACACTTTTTGTCATCATTCGACTCTATGGTCTGGTCACAACGCTTGCCTAACAACGTCTGAACCGCTTTTTAGCCCCACCACAAACCTCATGATGAGATACAGTCACTCATAGCGCCAGCAGCTTACATGTATAGATGTATTGACAAAGCAGAATTCTCCTTTCCTCTGTCGTATACATCTACCAATACTCAAATTGCATTATAGTCCAATGAAGGGATGGCAGAAATTACCATTTTACGGTAAAAGAATGAAACCAACGCGAAAATATGCGTAAGGGTCGTAGAAATATTAATGCAAGAAATCAGGATCCTGAATGCAAGAAAACCCTTGCAAAAAAAATGCGAAAGATTGCAAAAATGACTTTTTCCCTAATATCTCGAGAACGGCTGGAAATATGAAGAAAAGTTTTGAGTACAAGTTGTAGAGAATTAAATTTTCTACAAAAAAGTATTCATACATTTTTTACGTATCTCTTACCGTTTATGAATTATATGCCATCAAAGGGACTGTGGAACGCAGAATTTATTAAAAAATTATTTCATATTAAAAAAATTCTTTTTTTTTTAAAAAACACATCAGAGGGCTTCTTTATTACTCTGACAATATTTTCAAAGGTAATGAGCTTTTCATTAATTAATATTAATTTGGAAATTTCAAATTAATTTTTTTTATATTTAATCGAATTGAATTTTTTTTTTCTCTTCCATTCGATTCAGCATAAAATTTACGATTCAGTATATTCTCTTACTTGGATTTTCATTTTAATCCACGTGAGATAGATGAAAAACCACCCCTGCGAAAAGACATTAACAGGTTCCTCAAAATATACCTGCAACAGCCCCACACAACCGGCCCTCTTCAGATGAGGGCCATGGAACAGTTGGGAGGGGCCTTACGATACGTTCCAATGTAAATACGGACCAGGGACTACCCCTACAGCGTCTCAGGTGGACAGAGGGGCTGAGACGGGATTTAATGCAGTGTTGGGAAAGATGCGAGCCACAGACCTCAGGCTATGCCAGGCGCCTGCATACTCTGCGCAATGCACCCAGAGCTACAACAACTAACGCAGGCGGCGCTCGCATCACAGGTGCGGTATACTCAGTCCCGACAGCGGATAGAAGAAGAGTCAGACTCTGACTCTTGAATATCAGACGCTTCCGAGACTGAGGACGAAGTCTCACTGACACCCGAGACAGTCGCGCCAAGGTGGAGGATACTTCC